TAGAGCATGTACAAAACAATGGGACAGCTGGTGAAATGGCGGCAAGTATAGATGACTCCGGGAGTGCCGGCAAAAGTGAAAACTTGAATATTAACGTTATGCATTTTTGATATTTTGGAATGGTTAGGGAATAATTTTGTACGAATTTCTTTAATTATCAGTATCAAAGTACTATCATTTGTGTGGTAGAATATAATATTTATTTATTGCGCTATCGTACACAAACATGACAATTTATTTCTCAGAATTTCTCATTTAAGCGCACCTAGCCACCTATATTGTAAAAAAATGCATTTTCTTCGCAATAAATCTGCCACCTGAACGTCCTAGATACAGACTTATTATTATAATACGATTAAATAAAATATTACTATGATTCGTCCAATATATTGAAAGTCGACAACCTTTCCAATTTTATTATTTTCGTCTTACGAATTTTCGATTGACAGGTGTCCGGATGCGATCAGCCCACATGTCAAGACGCAAGTTTAACATTTTTTACCCATACAAAAAAAGTGTACAACGCCGTTAAACAAGTTTTCACTTCAAAAATCTTCAAAACGGGTTGAGTGAGGAACATAAATATTTTGAGTAAGGAAAAAATAATGAGAAGTCATAGGATGAATACGGAACAAGCCAAATCATTTAAATGAATATTAAACAAACTTTTTCTTTTCATGTAATTTTCCATTAGTTTTTTACACCTTGTAGGTATATCAATATCAAATTTAAGATAACAGTTTTCAAAAGAAAGATTACAAGCAAAATCTCGCAGTACCTAGCTTATGTAACGCAGTCAGCAGTGCGGTAACAACGTCTCTCCTTGGCAATGACACTGACCGATCCAAACCGGTGCTCCACAGCCGATCCGTAATATCACCTGCCTTATTTTATTATACAATCTTGTCTTTTAGCTGACGGGTTGTATACACTTATTATTATCTCTTAACACGAGCAAAATCATATAAGTTTTTGTTAGTTTTTTTTTTTCACATCTCCAGAATTTTATTAGATTACATTATTTTTTTCACATCTCCAAAGATAACTTTAAGAGAGGTAGAGCATAGCGGATTTCCCGCTCGAATTGGAGCCCCCAACTGAGAAAGTAACCTCCTACTTAGTGGCTGTCCATTAATCACGTGAGGCTCGAAAGGGTAGGGGGAAGGGGTTTATTTTCGTGGTCCGTGGATACTGTACAATAAATAATGTTCATGGATTAGTACAAAAAAGTTATTCGCATTTCTTTCATTATTTTTATGTCAGTAAAAACAACATGCAACTTTTCTGTCCATATCTGGGGGAGTCAGTCGCGGAAGAATCCCTAAACGGGGATCCCGCGGTTTCGCACTAAGCAGCTTAGAGGGTATTCGCAGGGGTTTATAGCGGATGTTATACCAAGAGTTACGGGGTCCTCAGTGGGCAGTCACTGCGGGGGCTCGTAAGGCTTGCGGGAGCCAGGTGTGAGGTCCGTTCGGCGGTGTACCTCTTAAAGGCGCCGTCGTCTGTAAACAGAGGTTTGGCCTGCTTCATAAAATAAAAAAGGGCTCTACGGGGTCGGGGTTTGGGTCAGGGTAGGCAACGGCGCGAGTGAATTTTTTCCTATCGCAAGCGTCGATTGGCCATTTTTTTTATGCTTAATAGGTAAGGCGTTTGACCACAGTCTCGCATGATGGAAAGCGACGATGAGGCCTAGGATGCTACACGCCTGCCTAGAAGATGCCTGTTCACTCTGGCCTTGAAGATGTCCAGATTATATTGGTCCGGGAAAACAGACCTCGTCAAGGAGTTCCACTCCCTGTCGCCCGCTTACCATCAAGCGGGCCATATCATTGTTTGTCACACATTTAACATTAAAGAGAACAAGCACGTCGCTGGCAGAGATGACACACTTGACTCTAACTAAAATTTGCACTTGAAAGCCTTATTTTACAAACTAGTCACATAATAAAAATTGGCTCTACATTTTTCAATGCCTATTTAGTAGTAATACCAACGACACCCACAAAAAAATAACATTCCCACTATCCGTGTTAAAGTTTTACCTATACACTATTTTTTTCAAGAATTGTATTTTTCTCAAGAACTCTATGTGTGACGAAGCTACTAAAGATTAGCTCAGAGACTAAGCTAATCTGCGGACGGAGGGACTGACATATCGAAATTATTCGGATTTCTTCTAAGTCAAAACCCTAAAAACTTTAGTGTCATCCATGCCATGTTTACTTGATAGTTACTCATAGATCACAAAAATAAATACTTAAAACCACTCAGTGATTCATACTTCAGTACTATAAATATACTTGTACGTCAAAATGTAATAAAAGACGAGAAAAGTTATTATAGTATTTTAGAAATAGAGAAATGAATATTTCTAATAAATAAAGCTTTCTTTATTTGAAAAAATATTTAAATACAAAATCAAAATAATAATTAATTTATTCAGGCAGGCTAGGCTGTTACAAGCACTTGTGAATATCGAAAAAATTTGCCATCAGTTCGCAAAACTACTGCAGGAGCAAAACACAATCACTATTAAGGTTCCAGGGCTCTACGGGGTAGCGGATTGCGTCGGGCTAGGCAACGGCGCGAGTGATTTTTTTTGTATCGTAAGCGTCGATTGGCCATGTCGACCGCTTACCATCAAGCGGGCCATATCCTTGTTTGTCACACATTTAACATTAAAGAGAACGAGCACGTCGCTGGCAGAGATGACACACTTGACTCTAACTAAAATTTGCACTTGAAAGCCTTATTTTACAAACTAGTCACATAATTAAAATTGGCTTTACATTTTTCAATGCCTATTTAGTAGTAATACCAATGATACCCACAAAAAATAACATTCCCACTTTCCGTGTTAAGGTTTTACCCATACAATACTTTTTCCAAGAATTCTTTTTTTCCTTTATGTGTGACGAAGCTACTATTTATATCATATAGAAATTATTTGGATTTCTTCTTAGTCAAAACCCTAAAAACTTCAGTGTCATCTCTGTTTACTTGATAGTTAGACATAGATCACAAGAAAAAGTTATTTAAAGTCACTAAGTGCTTAATATATAAGTTTATTTATAAACTTGTATGTCAAAAAGTAATAAAAGATGAAAATCTTATTATTTACCTATATTAAAATATATAGGTATTTTAGAAATAAACTGGATGCCGCCCGCGACTTCGTCAGTATAAAATTTTAGTTTTTTGTTTTCTAAAATAGAAGATTTTTTCAGCCTAAGTTACTCCATATTACATCAGTTACCTGCCAATAAAACACCCGTCAAAATCGGTTAAGCCATTTCAGAGATTAGCCAGGACAAACAGACAGACAAAAATTGTAAAATATGTTATTTTGGTGTATGTACCGTATAATATATTCATATGCAATGTAGTAAAAGGCGGTTATTTCAATATTACAAACAGACACTCCAAATTTTATTTATATGTATAGACATAGATTTATAAAATATGAGCATACCGTATCTTCCCTTTTTGTTTTAATCTAAGAATTAGGTACAGTGGGGTAATTTGTTACACCTCATATTAAAAAAAGCTGACTGCTGACTGATCATTATTAAAATTAACAATTATTTGATTGTGTTGTGTTTATAATCTGTATTCAAAGGAAGATCGTGTCTTTAATGAGACGATTAAATAAATGAACCGAGAAAATCTTTCATTGCCAAGCCCATCAACAGCTCTATTAATAAAACAATAACACGATGATGTTAAGGTACCCGTTTTGAGATCAGATTAGGAACAATATTATACTTAAGTTAATTTTGAACTGGTATAAATAAATTTTAATAAAAGCAAACGTGGGTGAAGCGGGGCCCTCGGTTGGAACGAAGTTGGAAAAATATAAATACACTTCTACACACAATACGAAACATCGGACGGTCGTGACGGAATAATCTTACACTTCTTTTCATCTAGCCCACATCAGCCAAGTCCTTATCGTACGATAATGAACTTCGTTTCAAAATCTGTGCATTTTTTTCTATTGGGTACATTTTCAATCTGATCCAGTTATCCGGCAAAGATAGAAGGAGGTATATATTTTTAGGAATATACCTTAATAATATATTTTATTTAAGATATAAGATATAATATTAAAGATATAAGATAAGTGATATGCTAAACAAAATATTCAACATAAAAAATGAAGACTTACACCTATTTGTTAGTTGTAAAACACTAAACAGCAATAACAAATAGTAAGGAAGAATAAAGAGAAAACGACTGAAATTGTTATTGCGGTCGAAGGAGCGTTCTGTGGATTAACTTTTTAATCCAAACTGTTGAAAAGACAAAATAAAAAGTACATAATAAGTTCAAACAAGTAATTGATTTAAACAAGTTATTGCAGCTGGAGGACCTCTACACAATCCTCCGGCTGTTGTGATATGAATTATGTTTATTATTATTTAGTTACCTAGTTTTATTAGCAGCAGTCAGTATTGTTATTACTTGTGTAGGGTTCATGTCAAAAGGGTTACAAACAAGCAATTGGTCCGCCTGACGGTAAGCGGTCTCGCGGTCCTTAGCCTACAGACGCTATTGATACATACAACCCTGTAGAGCTCGGAATCTTAGGTAAGTACTTACTATATTTACAAAAATACACCACCAAAAATTATTTCACTGTGATCTTCTCTAAAGAAATCTTCGATGCTCCAATTTAAGGGGAAAATGCGCTCTTGAATAACATTTTTTTAAACCTCATGCGTTGTACATTATGAGGATACTGTATTCTATTTCATGAAACTTTAATCCGTTTTGAATATTTAAATAAGATAGATAACATTAAATTTTCATTTAATCTAAGGGGTAAAAGTTGTTAATTAAAAACTACGAAACATTTGTCGACCACACAGAAGAGACCCATAATATGTGGTGTAATATTCGCTTCAGTAGCGCACCGGAAAATTACTCTTATGGAAATGCTATGGTGTGACCGCTAAAAAGCCCGTACGGTTTGGCCCATCTTCATTTACAGTCAAAACGTGGTCGCGCGCGGCTCGTGTCATCTCCGCGGACCGCCGTTGTAAGCAGCGCGTCACCGTTACCGTACGCGCGTAACATATCTGTGATTTGTGTCGTGATATATTATATTATAAAGTTATTGTGATTTTGAGGTAAAGTATTAGTGCTAACAAGTGTTATATACCAATGTAAAAAAAACTTTATATTTTATTTTGTTTACATACCTACCAATATAGAGCGGCAGTGATTCAGATTTTTAACGTCCATTTCAATCAGTCACGGTACTCATAGTCCAAAGTACCTATTCTTATTGATTATTTTATATACCTATATTGAATACCAGTGCGGAAAATCCAGTTTAGCATCAATTTATTTTGTTATATCATTATCATGTGATCGTTGTCCCCATACATGGAGCACAGGATTCGCCCTGTTAATGCTTAATGTGCCTATCGATTTTAGGTCACTCATCCAATATCCAGCCATTGAGAAAATTGATACAACCTTGTCATCTCACTTCTGTGATGTAAAGCAATGTAGCTTTTAGTGAAATCAAAGAAACGACAGAAAAGTTTTCCTTTCATTTGTACCTAGTGATTTTAATACAAAACACTGTTTAAACAACCAAAACTTGTTAATTAATAAAACCACTAAAACTCAACTCAAGTAATAATAAAATTATGATGTTGAGAATACCATTATGGAACTTGTAAATTGTAACTTCCAGTTTTTAATGTAGGTATACCTTTTTAATATTAATAATATCGAAAACTTTATAGCGATTTAGTGGCAGATATTATTAATATCCATTTTTCTAAAAGAATCAAGATACAAATTACAAGCAATTAGAAATATTAAATAAAACTAGTTTTAACGGGTTTAATTTTTCAGAATAAAAAATCATTAATCTGACGAAGCAGACCTGAAAAGGCTGCGAAACGTCAATAAATAAATAAAGTTTCGTGCATTAACCTGTTAAAACTAGTTTTATTTAATGAGTGATGTGCGTGAAAACCTAAGAAACAAATACAATTAGAAACATATTGTCCTTCTATGTATATTATAAACTTTCGGCAAACTACTCAACAAGTTGTAATCTCTTCGTTTAAGCGAACACTAACTTTGAGTTTTAAGTTTACAAGCTTTTCTTATGGTATTTTATGAGGTACTGCTTATCTTTACACCCAAAAGTTCGCGTTTGCGTTCAAATATTCGGAGTTATAGAAAGAAATAGGCTGCTCCGGCCATCCTCGCCTAAATGACTTGGATTGGAAAAGGGATATCGTCATTGTAAAAGTAATATCTGCTCTGTGCACTCTAGTGTACTAACTGACTTGCTTAAAAAAATATGCTTTGTGTATCAGCCAGAATATTGTCGATAATTATTATCTGTTATGTTATTTTTGCAGTGACGCTCTCGCAGCCTAATTACCTTTTGCGATGGTGGTCAGCTTGGATTTTTTGCTTGTTGAACTTAAAAATATATAACTAATCCAGTAAAGATACTAAACATTATTGATGTTAGAGTAAAGCTATTATATGTATAGGTAATTTAATAGGATTTTTGCTGGACTGACAATAAAAATACGTTTGATGGAATTCAAATTATTAAAAAAATATAAACGAACATTATTAAAATTAGTGATGGCCCAAAAAGAATAAAAAGTGGGATATAATTAAGTCATTTAAAGTCACGTGTTCGCTAACTCTATAGATAGAGCAAAGAAAGTGACATAAAAGTTGATTGACGTCTCTGAGTTAGGCTGTTCTATTAGACAATCCAATCTGAAGATAAGATTCTCTGTGCACTGTCTTTAGGTATGTAGGTCTCGTAGCAATCCTGGTCATATTATACATGTGAAAGTTTGTATGCTTGTGAGCTTGTATGTTTGGTACTCAATCATGCAAAAACTACTTATCTAATTTGGATAAAATTTGATACCCAAATAGTTTGTGACTTGGATTGAGATACAGTATAGTGTTTATCTCGGCAAAATTTTAGATTATTGTGAGATTCTCAAAAAATAACGCGGACGTTGTCGCGGCGGCCGCTATCGCTAGTGTAAAAATAAATTCTGGACAGAGCTCGAATCTAAAAAACTATTACTAATGTATACCTACTTAAATGTAATAAACCCAAAGTTAATGTGATCATATCCAATATAGCTCGAAAAAATTTACACAGTCCTGTAAATTTACGAAGAGTCAATTAATGGGAATGTTGTATATTGCTAGTGGAATATCACTAAACAGAAGGCACAGGGATGGCACAATGTAAATGATTTCACAATGATCTTGAACTACCTATTTCCAATATATATATATATATATATATATATAAAGTTAATAATAAAATATATGCTTCGTAAGAGCGACGTTAGTATACCAGTAATGCACATTAAAACCATACTAGAAAGGGCCGTCGCCCATTAGAGTTATACGGCACCTGACCAGCACCGTCTTGTTTTTCAGCGATTTATATATCTTATCACAGTGCTCATGCTAGGGGGCCAGGAACCGCAAGTTAAGCATGCAAGCGTGTTGTTATATAGTGGTCCGCGAGTGATCTACTCTTACTCAGCCTGTAAGAATGTGATCGGCAGCTGCGCGGTTACCAAGTGTACCAATGAACGATAAGCCTTAATAATGTTATGGTTCGAATAACACGGTAAGGTCACTCTTACATAAACCATTTTACATATAAACGGTAAATAGCATAATGATGGACGGTGTATCAGTTTTATCTAATATGCCTACCTTTCTATTATACATTTTATCAAATTTAATGAGTTTGTGAGCTGATAGTAAAATCTTCTATTTAAATGAAAATCAATTCCCTTGTATCTTTGACAAACATCACTTGAAACAGTTCAACGGATTTAGCTGATAAATTTTAAAAGTGAAACTTATTACATCGCCACATGTTTTTCTGTCGCACATTTTAATTTGTTAGTAAAAAATTCAGACCATAACAAAAAGCATCACTCACCAGTGATGCTTATTGTTATGGTCTGAATTTTTTATGTAGTATGTATGTAGTACGTATTCATCACACAAATATCTGCCCCCACCGGGATTCGAACCCGGGACCTCTCGAGTCGGCGACACCATGAAACCCGGCGTACAAACCACTCGGCCACGGAGGTCGTCAAAACAATGAAAAATTAAAAAGGTTGGGCAGAACTTGAGGGTTTTGTGTCATGAAAAATTAAGCCCTACGTACAATTATGATAAATAATAATTATGGTACACTAAATACATATACCTACTCAGGATATACGGACATAATAAAATGAGTTTTTTCTTTGTTTTTTCCCAGTAAGTTATCTTGAAAGTAGGAGTAAAGAAGCAACAATGGTTTAATTCAGAAAGCCTTTTCATTAAAACAAAAGGAAATTTCTAATCGTGGAAATAAATGGATTTTCCACTTAAATTAGTGCGTCAATAGTTATTTCTGATATTAGTACGGTACGTTGGTTATTACAAACGAGTAGATGAATGTATGTAAGCCTGAGACGAAGTAGAGAAGTCACGAGTTTGTAAATACCAGTTCCACAAGTATATTATACCTATATAACGTTTTTCAACAGATTTGCAAGAAAACAGTATGATTTTTAAGTGATGAAGCAAACTTTTTTAAAAAGAAAATGGCAAGAGTTTTCATGTTATAGTCGGTTATTCCTTATGCAGCTTCCATTGTATTGGATATCACAAACAATTTACAATAAAATTACTACATAAAATTAAATTTTCAATCAAGTTAAATATAATTAGCAAAAAATTTCAATCATTCTAATATGATTATATTTATAAGTCTATTCTCAAACAATTTATTAAATTACTACTTTATGCAATATTGATTAAATTAAATATTATTTAAAAATGCGGCATAAAATAACAATTAATCAACTATAATTTCAATATTGTCAAAGATATCAAATATCATATTATAGTTATAATATTTATTATTTTTAAAGCATGTAACTGCTTGATGTTTAAATTTTTTTTTCTATCATATTATATTTAATTAATTTAATTGTCAAGTGCATCGTACAAATTTTCGTCCCTTTTTCTTTTTAGTATTATAGTGAGACAAGGAGGTTCAAATGAAATTAAAAAAAAACGTAAAGAATACGCACGCCCGCCATGTATGGCGCGATGCACGGGAGTGTGCGGATAAATGTTTTTGCGCAGGTTCCGTTCTATGGCTCGTAAAATTACGGGCCATACAATAGCGAGTGGTAAAATTCATTACGCATGGTAATCAACGATATTATGACGGTAATAGTGTTTTTTTAATTTCGATCGAACCGGCTCGGAAGCGAGGGCGGATCCAGCTTTGGCGCCAAGGGGGGGTCATATAGTCGTGGTATATTAAATATTGAAAGTACTTAAATAAAATCCCCCTGGGTTTGGTCCATCTGTACCCAGCCCAGGGGGGGGTCATGACCCCCATGACCCCCCCCCCCCCCCCACCTGGATCTGCCCTTGCTCGGAAGCACTTTAGTCTATACCTATCATTATCATCAACCCATGCTCGTCGACTGCTGGGCATAGGTCTCCCCTAATGCACGCCACTGCTCCCGATTTTATGCCACTCTCATCCAGCCCACTTCAGCCAGCCTACGAATGTCATCATCCCATCTTGTCTCAGGGCGTGTAAAATACTTTTGGTAACCTAACCTAACCGAAAGGTTACCAATTGTATTTTTGGTGATAATTTTTTTGAGGATCATTTAAATATTTCCTATATTCCATTACCTGTCGCAGGTAGACATGTTTTTATGCTGCTACTAATAATGACCAGTAATAAACATCATGGTAGAGTAAGTTTTTTGTGTTGAATCGTGTATATACCACTATTACGTTGTTTATATATCTTTGACGTTGGCACTAAACGCAAATCCTGTAGAAACCGTTTTGATAACAACACTCAAAACCACAATACGTATTCGAAAGCTAGCACTTTCTATAGGGAAAATTTCCAGTGTAGATGTATGGTACATGCATTGAATAGAAACAGCGGTAATACACTGTGTTATGATATGTATGTGTTGTACCACATAGGTATTATTATTTTGAGATACTTGGAAGCTGTCTGGCTAAAAGAGATACTTTAACTTAGTGACGAGTATCCTATGTTTCAATCCAGGTCATAAACTATACCGCGTACCAAATTTCAGCCAAATTCGTTCAGTAGTTTTTGCGTGATTGAGTATCAAACTTACAAGCTTTCACATAAAGGGCTCAGGGGAAAACAGTTTTTGTTCCCTAAATCTAAACTATTTATTAATCTAGCAGTTCAATGCATAAAGTAAAAACTAAAAAAGGCTAAATTAAATTTTAAATTCGAATAAAATCTAGCCGTGGAATATATTAATTTTAGCAGATAAAAAAATATTTATTTAACATGAAGCCATTAGGATCAGATGAATCACGTTATTGCTTTGTTTTGGTAATTTAAATTTAATTGATTTCCGAATTGAGAGTCAGGCTGTCTAGCAATGAACGATAAATAGGTAAGTACCTTGTTTAATATAATAGCTAGATTGACTATACTATATTGTAAGAACTATATTTGGTAAAACGTTTTTTTTTACTAAGATGAGATGGGACTTCTATCAAACAACACCTACCTCTGAACGGATTTATTTGGATGATACCTCTTTAGATATCAAAACAAATGCCTATCATTAAAAAAAGGCTCGATGCGTAAAATAACACTTTTTTATTATAACGCAGGTTAAGTTTTGTTTCTTTCATAATTGGTTTAATGTTCCACTACATCAGACACCTAAGTAGGTAGATACTTTTGTAATTATTTGTCATTTCAAAGATTAAATTTATCTGAGATTTTTTTCACCAAATGAATTACTATTCATAATACTTATTGGTTTTATGAATAGTAATTCATAATTGTTAGTAATTATGATAGTGTCAAAATATTAACTTATGAATATACCATGATAAAAGTTTTATCTTTCCACATATTACAAGTTAGTGCTTTATAAACTATGTTTAAGGGACCGTAGGCCCGACTGTATAGTTTAAATTTCAACTCGATACCTCCACGTTCACGACAGACGGAAAGAAAGAAAGGGTTCTGTTTCTTTCTTTGGAGGTACGGAACCCCAAAAACACCATAATGAAATTAGTTTTAGATTAGTTAAGGTCGCTGAAACACAATCTCACTGTACTCTGTTCAAAGGGCCACCGCTCTGTGGAAGTTACTTTCCTTGAAGGGTCGTCAAACTCATATTCATTTTGTGTAAGGATTTCATTTTCTTTTTTCTTTTTTCAGATTGGGCGCAGCGTTTATTATTTGAAGAAAAATGATACGTTCACCTAATGTAAGTAAAAATCAATTATCTAATATGCCATATTTAGGTAAGGGTTAAACAATCGTCCAACGCTTACAACTGCAACATTATGAATTAATCGAAATTGAAGATAAACCCACAATATTTTGATTGAATTTTGCAGTAAATGCTTTTATTTATGTTCTTTTATTGATTGATTGCTTTATTGAATGAAGTCAATATTTGTATCACTGGAAATCGTAGGTGTAATTTTTATGTAAGGATTATGTAATTTAGGTAAAAAATTCACAGAAATTAAGGAATAATCGAAAAATTTAATGGGACATCCATAAATCATAATTTATTCATGAATACAACCACAAAACCATAATGGCATAAAGGAAGTCATATTTTTTTTATCCGAATCGAATTACTGCTGCTGCTCTGTGTTGATTATGCGTGCATTCTTTTTAAGATTAACCATCTTTTGCGTAAAAAATATGTTTATAAACCGAAACAACGACTTTGAAACCAGACTAAGTCATTATGTATTTTTATAGTTATTTTTTTACATGAATACAAAATATTGTTGACGGCGTCAGAGGTGTGCTATTTCCATAAAAGATTGCTCCACAATTACAGATGATACCTATAATTTTGCTGCCGTGACTTTGTTTAATTATACAAGGAAGGCATAATCTATTTTGTGATAAAATCACTAATGTATAATTAATATCGTTGTGATATCACTGTATGCGTGTGATATACCGATACATACTCGTATATTTTTAACGATCAAACGAAATTAGCAAGTCATGTTGGAACTGCAGTGCCATTCTGTAATAACAAACTCAGTTTTCACCTCAGAATCGGGGTTAAATTTAAAATTAGATTAAATACGAACTTTAAAGAAATTACAAATGACACCGGCGAAATAGCACTGCTGAATTATTCTGTTATTGCCTTTTTAATATCCGGAAAATGCCTTACGCATCCTTCAACCACTAGGGGAGCGAGATTAAGGTATGTGGGACTCCTCCCTGCTCCAGGGCTAGTAAAAACCAGACTATTCTTCTGCACCGGTCACCCGACACCCATTGTGAGGACCGCGGTCCCCCCAATGCGTGCCGGGAGTGCGGGTGTGGTCGCGGCAACCATTTCCGATTGGCCGCGTAACCGCAGGTGAGATTCTGTTATTGGTAAAAAAATTAACGGGCTAGTCATACCGAGGGATATATAGTAAGAATCTAATAAAAATAAATCTCGAAGGCGACAGGAGGATACTAAACATAATCATTATCAAGTCATCGTCTCATAGAGTACCAGCTCGTGGGTTCAGTTCATTTTAGTGTCTCCTTTAGTGGGAGACCAAATAAGTATATGAAAGACAAGCATAACAGAACGACATTTTAAAACAGAGTCCGTAGCACGGATGAAATCTCCATAACTAAAAAATACAAATATTTTTTTGGATTTTTCAATAAAAATAATTCTTTTTGTGATTGTGGACGTATTAAGGAAAATTATTCAATGCTATTTAATATAACAGTACAAGTACTTCAATTATTATCGTAATTATTGATTCGTCGCCCTTTGCGAATGTTGCAAGAATACGAGTACTTGTAATCTCTTCCGCCGTGATTAATAGATCTGTAGGTACCTTGTTTGTAGTAGTACCTACTTGGTTATCCAACTTTACTACTTACACAGCCACACTGTGACATTTTTTGCAGTCATGAACTAAATGCATACCCAATTTCATCCAAATCCGTGCAGTAATTTTTGCATGTTTGAGCAACAAGCATACAAACTTACTTAAATATAACATGACTAGTGGCATACACAATAACATTCTTCATATAATTATAAATCTTCCGTGAAAATTTATTTAACTAATAGTGAAAATTTTGTTGCTAAGTCTAGGGACCCATTTGTACCTAATACACCATTGATCTGCTGTTAAAAAAGTTTGTCCCCCTGACCATTGGTCGATGCCTTATTATTAAACGTATCTAGTGACGCAGTGGTTTTACAAATCACGGTTTTACGAATGGTTTAATTCAAAAAGTAATTAAAAAAAATATCTACATATATCAGGTGCCTGCCTGATATAGTTTTGAAAAAGTAATTTATTTGTTTAAGAATGAATTACCTACTACCATTTAAATTATTTACCAATTAATTACCATCGGTGTTACTATTGCATAACACTTACTAATATCGTAAAGCTGGAGATTTTTTGATTTTTTTTTGTTGAACGCTCAGAACATACTGATCCAATTTGGAAAATATTTTTGGTGGAGTAGTGCATTTATCGAGGAAGGCTATTATAGGTTACGACATCAAACTAAGACCAATAAGAGCGGAGTATCCAACGATATTAAATACCCTAGAAGCACCAACACGAACAAAATCGTGCCCGAAACCAAGAAGTGCTTGAGTGGAGTTCAAGCACTTTTTGATTGGGGCACATTTTGAGCACACCACGAACACATCTAGGGTATTTAATATCGTTGCGAGTATCGTTGAAAAATGTTGCAAAAAACGGATCAAAATATTTCATTCGGTTAAAGTTTTACAAAAATCATGTATGATGAAATTGTTTCTCTTTAAAAGTTCTAAAAAAAAGTCCGCGAAAGCGTAGGTATGTCCATCTTTTCAGTTAGACACAATATACAACCTTTTTCCTCAAATTAACGCGGGTGAAACCGCAGGGGGGCTCTAGTTGTGACATAACTGTAATAGTTAAACATAATTATGGTATCGCGGACTTTTTGTAGGTATTAATGTCCTAGAAAAACTTTACTACATCACTTTGCTGTATTGTTAATGACTTCCGTAGCGTACGCGATATAAGGTTATGTTTTGTTTTTTTTCACACATTGGATTACATTATCGGCCTTTGTTCATCAGGTATAATATAGGATTCTACATGTGAGAGAATTTTTCAAATTGGTTCAGTAGTTTCAGAGCCTATTCAATACCAACATACAACGAAACAAACAATCAAATCTTTATATTATTAGTATAGACTCGCGGCCACCCGTGACTTCGTCAGCATAAAATTTAGTTTCTAAGAATCCCTCCGGAACCTAACAGTTTTCCGGGATAAAAAGTATCGCATGTCTCAATTATAAACTATATGTATGTAACTATATGTACCAAATTTCATTGAAGTCCGTTCAGTAGTATTTGTGTGATTGAGTAACAAACATACAAACTTTTCCATTAACCTACCTACCTACTAATATTAAGGTCTTTCATAGCTGAGATTCGTGAGGAGCAAGAAGCAACCGCGGCCGGGATTAGCGGCTTAACGAGCTTTCCAAAACACAGAGGAACTAGAGATAATAAGTTTTTTGTCACCCATCCAAAGGCAGACCATTACGAAAGTTGCATTACTTCCACAATTGCCATCGAACCCACTATCCACCTGCGCCATCGAGCACATCAATATGGTTTAAGCAGTATTACTAATGTTCACAATCGGAGAAAGAAAGCGTCCGCTATCCTCTGATATTATTTATTTAATATTCCTTGTCGTCATCTCATCATGAAAATCGTGTCTAAATCAAGGGTTTCTTTTATAGGAATGTCCGTGTCCTATAAAAGAAGTCGGGCCGTCAATGATCGGCGCTTGTCCAAGTCAATTCATGTTGTTCATGACAATCTTGGAAGCCTACATCAATGGGAGATGCGACCTGGCTGATCCATGCAACAGGTAATGTATCACAATAGAAAGAAGCCAGACGGACGGCTTCCGACATATTTAAAAAATGATTACCTAAACTTGGACCAAACGACCATTATAAGCCTATAGTCGATTGCTCACATTCCATAAGAGCTTTAAACTTTGTATCTTCTGGTCAAAGTTCTGTAAAGTATATAGCTAGTGGTCCGCTCTGGCTTTGCTTTATTCTTTTTTAAGTACCTATTACTTTAAACAACAACAACATATCTTGAGGTTTTTTCTAAGTGCCTACTAATATGCAAAATATATATTTATTTTATCAGAATAACTGACGCGCAGAAATTGGAAGAGGAATACGATTTCGTTGTAGCTGGTGGTGGCACCGCTGGCTCGGTGGTTGCGGCCAGACTGTCAGAAAACCCACAATGGAAGGTAAGTTGTCTTCTTCATTTTCAGCCAACTAATGCCGTAAAATGTGCATTTGTTTATTTAATGTTTGTTTATGGCTATGGTTTTTTTATAGCTTGGTACGCAAATGACTCTACCTGATGCTAAGTGATGGTAAAGTCGAGACGCGAATATAGCTGGTGAGTGGTTTAGAGTGAAACAGAAAAAAAACGTTGTTTCGTCGGAAGTTTCTACGGTTTAATAATAAATATAGGTTTGGCCTTTCTACGGAGTATTAAAGCTAATTAACAGTTTGACCATCGAAAAAAGACAAAAAATGTTTCAGCGGACTTTACTTATGGGCAAAAGTTTCATCATACCTCATTTACAAAGCCGTTGCGTCAGTTGTTGAAAAACGATTCGCGCATGCTGAGACTTCTGAAAAGGACTTCTCAAGTCAAATTAAGCAGGCTGAATTTGTTATACCTATGTTGAAATCTGACTGCTACGACATTTAAATTTAGAACAAACTTACTTGTGAGGAAACTTTACCTACAACAAAGGAGGCCGAAGATTACATAGATACCTAATTAGGATTTCACTCAGTATCTTCTATTTAATTTATTGTTCTGAGCTTCGGTTCTGAGCCTCTAAAACTTACTCAACCTTTTCGTTGATCAACGTATCTTTGAGATAAGGCCTCTCATTAACTGCATTGGTCACGCGGAACGACGGACCGAGGATCCGCGCATTGTTCTTAATACTATTGTCACATTATTACTAATGCATATTTTCCTATCTTTGTTCTTAGCTAGCTAATATACTAGTTCTGTTGTTGTTTACGGCTATTTGTAGGCCGCTACCTATACCTCGGACATATATCTCTTAAACATTAGAATTTATCTGCACTAGATACTTACTATGAACGTCAAATTGCGTGATACTAACTCCGACCAAAAAATAGGTAGATTTACACCCCGGCAAACTTGAGGCAACGACCAATGAATAGACAAGGAAGCCTGCGCAATAGCAATTTTACATACAAAAACCTAAACTGCGCAAGTTTGTTTGTCTGTGATTTTGCTCAAGAAGTTTGCCGCTACTATCTATACTAAGTATAAAGCCGTGTTGACACATTCAAAGTCTGCTTTGACAAAGTAGCTTTGTGACCGTTTGTTGTTAAATAAATATTTAAGGGGAGCTCCCATACAACAGATGGTTTTTTTTTGTTTTCTGCTCGATAATTTAATATGGTGTCCAATGTTGTATAGATTATTATCTATGGTACGGAACCCCTCGTGCACGAGTCCGACTCGTATTTGGCCCGTTTTACATTAGATGCCATTTTATTTCGTTCTTTCACACCAAAGATGGCTTTGAAAAGTTGAACGCAGTCCAAGTCCATACTTTGATTGGACGCCAACATCAAAATGAGCTGTGATTACTGTTTTACACTATCAAAGTAGCGTCAAAGTAGTTATTACACAAAGCTACTTTGTCACAGCAGACTTTGAGCATGTTAACGCGGCTTACTTACCTAAAATAACAGCTCCGAAGAAAAATTACAATCTCACTCTACTCTGATCAGGGGCCAGGGTCAGTACTCTATGTATGATGTATTTTACTATAACTACTATTCATAAAATAAAATCAAATTTCAACTTCCAGGTATTGTTAATAGAAGCAGGAGGAGATGAACCGACTCAGTCGTCCGTGCCTGCTTGGGTCACAGCCTACTGGAACCGGGATGATACTGACTGGATGTACCATACCGAGCCGCAGGAGAAGGCCTGCTTACACGACGGCGGGAAATGCTCGTGGGCCAGGGCGAAAATGTTAGGTAAGTGGAGTAACTATATAGATAATCTCTCGTTTACCTGTGTACCTACCCTTGATGTTGATATAGTAGGAGATTATAACAACATTATTAGTCATTAAAAACATTAATTTAACCAAATTAATGTTTAATAAATTAATTACTTTGATAAAATATTACATGCAAATAAACTGCCATTTCATTTAAACTTTCTTTTCCTAACGGACCATAATAAATAAATAAAATAAAATGCATTTATTTCAAGACACGGTCTCATAAATGTTAGTAACAATTTTCTTAACCTATGTTAGTATTTCATAAACAATAATAAACGTCCCTAATTTTTCCCATTTGCTTTATGTGTGCGTCAGGATAATGGGTCACTAGTCGATGATTTGGTATACCTACGATATGAGAGAATTCAGATTCCGATTGGATATTATTAGGGGTGTATTTACCCTAGGGCTTAAAGGACCATGGCCCGGGGCGGCATGCTTCGATGGGGCTGCAAGAACTATAAGGGGTATTTTGAAAGCAAGTGAGGGCAAACGCGCTTTGATTATAAAGTTTATCTAATTTTGATTTGATTTACAAATTCTGGAGGGGTTGGAGGGCAGGGTTTAATCGTAAAGTATATAGCCCAGGGCGGCGCGGTGGGTCATTGTAAGTTTATTTAAATAGATTAAAACGTATAAAACTGTTATGCAAATTCTTGATTACCCATCCTAAGACCGGCAATCCTATGCATTGTGAAACTAACCGCTTGCGCCATCGACCTCATTATCATAATTTTCCTCCTTTATTTTCGCAGGGGGCTGTTCCGTTATTAACGGCATGATGTACATGCGAGGCCACGCCGCCGACTACGACGGCTGGGCGATCAACGGCGCCAAGGGTTGGTCCTGGTTCGACGTGATGCCATACTTCCTGAAGAGCGAGGATAACAAGGAGATCGGCAACGGCATCTCCAGCCAGTACCATTCAACCGGTGGGCCTATACCAGTGCAGAAGGTGAGCGAAAACCTTTGTTCATTGGTACATTTTCTTAAGAGGCGCAACAAATAGCTGCACCCCACCTGTAAGTGGATTCCAGTCGCGAAGATAGAAGATGATGCTAAAGATGTGCCGCTCCAGCCATACTCACCTTGCCCAATGTCGTACCCCATGGAGCCTCAAACTCTACTCATCAGCAGAAACACAAGACTATCAAAAGATAGTGCTATTTTGCTGTAGTCTTCTGTAGCGTAGAGGTTGCTTTCCGAGACGGGCTCTCCAATTCGAGCAAAAAGTCTGCTGTGCCCTGCCGCACTCAACAATAGTTAAAGTTAAAAGAAAATGGTAACTACGGATATGCCAGCTGCTTCGGTCAGTACCAGTCAACCTTCCAATGCAGAAGAAGGTGAGTGTTTGTAGGTTAATGATAAAAAACACATGTTAAGTGGGGATCCTCAATAATTAGTAATATGTACGAATATATAAAAGATAATAAAAGAGCAGCAGCAGTCTTGCAACCACACGGAGCTTGAGAAGAGTCCGAAACGTCAAGAATAATTAAAAAATATAATACTTAACTAGGTAGGTTTATTACATTTTCCACATGTTCCAAGGTGGTAAAAGGGTGACAAACAAGCGTACGACCCACCTGATGGTAAGCGGCTACCATAGCGTATAGATGCTTGCGATACCAAAAATATCACACCCACCCTGATCCAGCCCCTAGAGCCTAAACTTTACTCACCGAGAAAAACACAACACCAACAAAAGGGTTTTTAATTTCCCTCATGTTTACTGTGATCTTCGGTAAACGATGGTGATGATAAAGTATAGTAGTCAATACATCATTTTAAATGTTATTTTCCTCTGTTTACAGTTCCCTTACGCGCCTCAATACGCACACGACGTGGTGTCAGCTGCCATAGAGCTAGGCTACCCACCGACTACTGACCTCAACGGAGACACGATCACCGGTTTCACTATCGCTCAAACACAAAATGAGTACGTTTTTTTATCATTAAGTATGTAGTTATACCAAGAGTTATACAGTTATCTATATATATATATATATCATAAAAATCAATTGCTGTTCGTTAGTCTCGCTAAAACTCGAGAACGGCTGGGCCGATTTAGCTGATTTTAGTTTTTAAATGTTTGTCGTAGTCCAGGGAAGGTTTAAACGATGAGAAAATATGGAATAATTGCGAGGAAGATAGTAAAAATACAATTTCATTTATCCATATAAACTGTTCTACCTATATTCCTGTCAAAAATTGGACGTTCGTCGTTTATCATTTCTCCCAAATTATTGTAAGCAGTACGAAGTACGCTGGGTCAGCTAGTTTTTAATATTTTATTCCTATATAGTGTAAATATTAGTTAGGCGTCAGATTTGTGGTAGGGGCGAACGTCATGCCTTTGGCCAGTGGGGTCATCCATAAAGTACGTCACACGTTAAGGGGAAGGGAGGGGTCGACGAAATGTGACATTGTATGACAAGGGGTGGGAGGTGTTCTAAGTAACGTGACGTCACATTTCAAAATCCAATACATTTGAACTATTATCAGAAAACTTTAAAATATTTAGAACTCTATCTATCTTCTGTCTATCTGTATGGGTTTTAATTTGTTTTGTTGGATAATTTTCGGAATGAATTTCGGATCTGCTTTTTTTAATTTAATAACATTTTAGATGCTTAATATATGACCGCACACTACGGAGAGTGGGGGACTCGCAAATGTGACCGACTCACAGTATAATTTTCAGCCCAAAAAACGGTCATATGTTTTTAGGTGCCTAATAGATGAGGCTAATAATTTTAAATGCAAATTAGAAGTCCCGAGTTTAATTTTTGGTTTAAACAGATATTATAAAGTTAGTTATAAAGATTTTTCATGTAAATCGAAAATTGCACTTAATTCTGTAAAAATTCAGCAATAATTTTCGTTTTGCTAATGCTCTGCATTGTCATTATAAAATGCACAAATTAAATCAGTTCATAGAATTAAATAGTGTTGGAAAAGACACTTATTAATTAATACGAATATCAAATAAAAAATCGAATCCAAATCTCGTAAGATCTAGAAAATATTAGCTTCTTAAGTTTTCTATGAGAATTATGGTTTTAGGGCTGTCGCATTATGTAACATCCATAATTATTTTTTATTATAAATAATATTTATTTTAGTCTAATATTTTACGTGGTTTGTCAAAAAAGCTATATATATATCTAAATATATAAAAGAAGAAACTGCCTGATTGACTGACACCCTGACTGACTGACTGACATATCAACGCACAGCCCAAATGTCTGGGCCTAAAGACACGGTAATATTATCTATACAGTATTCTATCTTCATGCAAACGGTCGGAAAGCGTATCATACCTATGCCACTCGAGTTCGCGCGGCACCCGGTGGGCATCCAGTCGCGAATGCGCCGCAGCGTAAAGATGGGCGTTTTTAGATATTTGTGAAATCGATGCGCATCGGTATCAGATAAATCGCATCGGATCCGCGCACCGATGCCGGCATCGCATCGATGCCAAGTGAATGACAGTATCGTAGTATCACAAACTTTTTAGTGCCGGTGGCAAAAATTGGAACTACAATTTATCCTTAACATTGTGACATTTTTATGACATATTTGTACGGGACACAGAAAAGACGCAGATGTAGTGCAGATATAGTCAGTTTCATTCAAAATGAAAAATGTGGTTGTATAGTCTGTTTACGGACGATAATCTTACGTGATAACGCGTCGTTCGCTGTTTTCGGGTCAGGGGGAGGGGGGTAGGTCTTATCATCTACATTCCCCAATTTTTAAACATAAGCTTCTTACGATTTACCCTAACATCTGTAAAAAAGCTAGAATGAGACAATTGCTTGGGCTAAATATTACTAGTCATCGTTATCATAACATTACATTTTTAACCAGTTTATTTTTAAGCTGCATCAAATCCAATGAAAAGTAATATGTGGTACTGGGAAGGGCGGACCCCTCGTTAGGCATAAGTAAAAACCCTGTACCGAAACATGTTACTTGGAGGAACGAAGGTATAGATAGTATTTTGCCTCAACAGAGCCTGACCCCACCTATTGAGGGATGTCTGTCCGGGCTGAGTTTACTTCAAATTACTTCAAAATGTTTATAATTGCATACACAAAGTCACGCTCCTATCGCTATCTGTTTTTAATTCATGGTTTTATATGCTACACTAGCTGCTGAACCCCGCGTTTATCTTATATATATAATACTAGCGGCCGCTTGCGACTTCATCCACTTCAACTTTAGTTTTTGAGAATCCCTAAGGAACCTAACTTTCATCATGCCCCGCAGTAAAATACTCCCTAGTAAAATTTACTTTCCCTTTTCACCCCGTTTAGGGTAGAGTTCAAAGTACCCTGATACATGTTATTCTTTAGTTCAGGTCTCAAGTATAAATACTGAGTTTATAGTTACGAGTAATCGAAATACGCGTTAAAATTCATCCATAGAAAAAATTCAACACTCTCCCAATCTCCCTTTAAGGGGCAGTTTAGGAAAACTAAAAAGGATAAACTTATTATTTAGATAAGTATTCATGCCAAGTTTCAAGTCTATTAACTCAAGGAATAAAATTTTTTTTACAAACTTTAAACCCTTCGGAGGTGAATTTTGAAAAATTCTTTCTTATTGCACACCTGCCCCTCAACTCGGCCCTGTCCTTGAAATAACTGCCTACGGCCGAGCGGGGCGTATCCACGCGGTAGGGCTGCTTTTAATTTCATCTACATAACGTAGTGGCACCAATGATCGACACTTTAAGGAGATAGTGGGCTTCTTAATAAGATTAAAGGTCATTTAGTCATCTTTAAACCAAAAGTAACGATTGAGTATGGTATGGTATATTCTTGAGATAAGAATAGGATGTATTATTTTTATTAACTATACACAGACTAGAAAAAGATCCCAAAAAATGAAAAAGTATATAAATCTCCAATCATCGACACCGAATCACCAGTAGTCAACACCCAGTCATCGACAGCTGCCACTTACCGACACCCAGTTATCGACTGTTGACTATAATGTGTATCTGCCAAATCACCACCTGCTTAGTGGGTCATTAAAATAAAATTAACTGTTTAATAAGTATCTATTATTTTATTGTCCACAGTACAACATCCATATCTAAAGTGTATTATTCATACAAATACACACATAAAAACTTTTGTAACTATAATAAAAAAGGTCAATATAGGTAACAAATAATTTCTCAAAAAGTTTAAATTGCAAAATTCAACAATATTTACTGTAAAGTTATTCTTACTCAACTAATTATTAAATATTTATTAGTAATCAAATCACACTTTCAGTTCGTAATCAAATATCTATTTGGAAACAATGTTTTCTAACCATTTTCGTTAAAATTATGAATTATTATAACTATATAACAATCAGTTGATCTCTCTGTTTCTGTCTTTCTCTGAATCTCTCTGTGGTCTGTTTTGATCAATTATTATTTTTTGCACACTGTCTAATAGCGAATCTTTTGTCAATGGAATATGTCTTTCATATAAAGCTAATATCCACTTTTCCAAAATGTCCCCCTCCCCTTTAGTTAAAACTGTGCTCGGCCATAGTACAACCCATTGTTGTTTTTCCCGAAATTTTATCATGGAGCGTAATCCTAGGTACTCCGAAACGTTTCGCAGCAACTGCAATCTTTTCGCCATTTTTAACAGCTTCTACAGCTTTTTCTAACTGCTCGGGAGAATATTTTTTTCTCGGAGCCATCTGTAAGAACCAATCATCGACATATATTATTCCCCAATAATCGACACTTGTCGATTACTGGTAGCTCGACTATGATTAGTTTACTTCAAATATCTATTAAATGCTCAAAGTAATAAGAACTATATACGGTTGTCAAATGAAAAATTTTCATAAAATACTATCGACACGTGTCGATTATTGGAAAAGTCAGTTTTTGAAAACCAGTGATCGACACCAACATTTTACTAATATCAAAATATTATAACCTAAAAATAACCTTAAAATTTCGTTATAACAAAAATGGATCGTATAGTTCTTATAGTAACTCGTGAAAAAGATAAAATTCAAATAAGTTACAATACAGTAGTATAATTAACAAAAAATGTACTCACTTCCTTAAGGATTTCACTAAGAAATGTTGTTATTTTCACCGGTACTGCAGCCGCAATCAGTTGTTATACCGCCATTTTCAAAACAAAATGGCGGATTTTGCTTAAATGTCAATGGGAGGCAGTCAAAAGTGTGCTATCGATGGTACAGTGTTGCCATATTAAGAAATCGATTTCTTACTCTTATTTTATTGAATCAAAAAATAAAGTGTCGGTCATTGGTTCTTGTCGGTCATTGGTGCCACTACGTTAATTGAGTTTCTTTCTAGTTTTGTGATTGTAAATATTTTATTTCATATGTAAAAAATGTTGTGAATGAATTAGGAAGTGTAACATAAAATACATGTTATTTTAAGTGTAATATTTAATAATAAAAACAATAGATTTGAGACAGAAAAATATTTACGCGAGACGTACGAAAAGCTTTATTATTAAATTTAATATTATAATAAATATGCATTCGTAAAAAAGTTTAATTATTGAAGAGTTCAAGCAACCAAAAACAGCACAATATCGACTATTGCTCTTTGCCATATTAAATTATGAAGGTATCTACTCAATTCAATCAAATATTCACAATACAAACGTTTAAGCACGGCTAACTGCTAAAAAAACAATTCACACCGTTTGGTCGTCGCTGCGGTAGGGGTGGGCGTTTTTAGAATAACGATGCGCGATAACGATGCCAGGTTCGGATCCGCGCATCCGATGCGACTGGATGCCGATGCCATCTAGTTTTTGTCAATGTTACTGTAACAACAGTGCCACAAACTTATCTGTGCCGGTGAAGATGTCGCTAGCGGTAAACAAATATGTCATAAAAATGTCACAATGTTAAGGATAAATTGTAGTTCCAATTTTTACCACCGGCACTAAAAAGTTTGTGATACTACGATACTGTCATTCACTTGGCATCGATGCGATGCCGGCATCGGTGCGCGGATCCGATGCGATTTATCTGATACCGATGCGCATCGATTTCACAAATATCTAAAAACGCCCATCTTTACGCTGCGGCGCATTCGCGACTGGATGCCCACCGGGTGCCGCGCGAACTCGAGTGGCGTAGGTATGACACGCTTTCCGACCGTTTGCATGAAGATAGAATACTGTATAGATAATATTACCGTGTCTTTAGGCCCAGACTTTTGGGCTGTGCGTTGATATGTCAGTCAGTCAGTCAGGGTGTCAGTCAATCAGGCAGTTTCTTCTTTTATATATTTAGATATATATATAGCTTTTTTGACAAACCACGTAAAACATTAGACTAAAATAAATATTATTTATAATAAAAAATAATTATGGATGTTACATAATGCGACAGCCCTAAAACCATAATTTTCATAGAAAACTTAAGAAGCTAATATTTTCTAGATCTTACGAGATTTGGATTCGATTTTTTATTTGATATTCGTATTAATTACGAAGATTGTTTAATGTAGAAACTAAATCCTAATATATATACGAAAAATAATAAAAACGAAAATAAGAAAATTTATAATAAGTGTCTTTTCCAACACTATTTAATTCTATGAACTGATTTAATTTGTGCATTTTATAATGACAATGCAGAGCATTAGCAAAACAAAAATTATTGCTGATTTTTTACAGAATTAAGTGCAATTTTCGATTTACATGAAAAATCTTTATAACTAACTTCATAATATCTGTTTAAACCAAAAATTAAACTCGGGACTTCTAATTTGCATTTAAAATTATTAGCCTCATCTATTAGGCACCTAAAAACATATGACCGTTTTTTGGGCTGAAAATTATACTGTGAGTCGGTCACATTTGCGAGTCCCCATTTTTAACACGAAAAATAAGTGATTTCAGTTTAAATTTTGTTTTAATTTATTCATCTTAAATTTAAAAAAATCTTCCTCAATTAGGATTTCTGGTCTTAGTTTCAACAATTTCTAACCAATTTGCATAAACAATACCTCAAAAGAAAGTACAATAACTGAACATGTTTTTCAAAAGCTTTGAACAAATAAAACACCCTCCGTGTTTTTTTTGTAAGCCTAAGATAAACAGCTTTTTACCATTTTAAAAATTTACGATAATTTTAAATATCTGTAAAAAAATTGTTTGCTGATACAGATGTTTTAAACTCTTTTTCTTAGTTTGCTTTCACATTTGTTTTATGAAATAAATTCAAAAAGAATTCATTTATTATGTCAGTTAGCCATTATTTGAACTGTGTACTTTTAGGTTTTTTTCTTTAAAATCGTTAAAAAATAAAATGGTCAGTCTTCGTCTATGACAAGTATGGCTCAAATGTTTCTAAATGATCTCTGTTAGCTTTCCTTTAAAGCTTTGCACTCATCTTCCAAACACCCTGTATATTAAACGAGTAATGATATAATTCTTTTTATCTCAATGCAGCAAAGGCTCCCGGTTTAGTACAGCACGGGCGTACTTACGTCCAGCTGCCCATCGTAAGAACTTGCACGTGCTCCTGAACTCTCACGTCACTAAAGTCATCGTTAACCCTGTGACCAAGAAGGTGACTGACGTGGAATACATCAAGGACGGACAAACTGAAACTGTGGGCGTTACCAAAGAGGTGGGTAAATGAAAGAACTGCCTGCTATATCATCAACAGCCTATTAACAGGAGACTGGGCCGTAACCCACCGTGCGAGCCCAGTGCGGATTGGCGGTTGCTAACGACCTTCCGAAGCACGGAGGAGCTCGAAATAATAAGTTTTTGGTCACCCATCCAATGACCGACCATTGCGAAAATTTCCGAATGCGCTAACCACTGCGCCATCGTGCTTCTAAATGCCTGCTTTATAGGTCATTTGATTTACGTAGCGATTAGTTAAAGTGGTTCCCTACATTTAAGTGCCGAAGGGACTGCCAGACGTACCTATCGATTAAGCAATGTTATGGTCATTTGCATATTTTTGCATAATTTTGCAAAAAAGGCTAAATGGGTTTAGTTGATTGCGATCAATGTTGACACAGACAATTCAATAACTGGATTATGTTTTGGGGCTCCTAAAATAAAGGATGTATTAGTCCTGGGGTAGATTTCGGGTTTTATCACGAATAAGCGTAACGCAACTGTTGATGTCTATTGTATTACTTAACATGAAGTGATACAATTCTTTGATATGTGCTTTTGTTAACCCAAATTGTTTTTTTGTGTAAATCAAATCCATATTCTTCATCCAGGCTATAATTTCCGGTGGCACCATCAATACGCCCCAGATTCTGATGCTCTCAGGAATTGGACCTAAGGAAACCCTGGATAGGTTCAACATACCAGTGATCAACAATCTCCCAGGTGTTGGCCAAAACCTGCAAAACCATGTCGGGGTGCATTTAAGCTTCACATTGACGAAGGAACCTGAAGTACCGGAGCTGAACTGGGCTACGGCTATGGATTATATGCTGGAGAGAGATGGTCCTTTATCTGCTACTGGGCTTTCACAGGTAAATTTTATACCAATTCTTATGTTATTTATTACCAACGCCAACCAAACAACGCTATATTTCGTCATGATAATAACATGACGAAATATAGCGTTGGCCAGAACCTGCACCCAACACACTCTTGAATGAGTGGGAAAAAATACATAAATAATTTTATCTTGCACAATTACTTAAATCTCCCAAAGTCCCTAAAGAAATTCCAACCGACTTTGTAATACAGAAGGCAGGGTCATTGAAGGTTGATATATTGAAAATTGATGTTTTTATGATATTTTTACAGCTTACTGGAATCGTGAACTCCCGATACGCACCAGCGGGAGGAAGACAACCCGATGTTCAATTCTTCTTCGGAGGATACTACGCATCATGCAGTACGGGAGATATACATGAAGCTAATGCTGAGAGCGAGGAAAAGAGAGAAGTGGAGTGAGTATTTCATAACAAGTAGGTAGATAAATAAATGTAAATATGTGTAATCATTTAAATAAATAAGAGCCACTTAAGCTAGTAGGTAAATTGTTATTCGCGCACCTACTTAGTTATTGTTTTATTGTATTATTATTGATAAGAAAAGCCAGTAGTTAAGCGATGGAAATAGTACAAAAAAATAGCACAAGATAATATATTTTTGGTCACCCATTCTATGATCGGCTACTGAGTAAGTTGCTTAATTTTCACGATCACAAACCGAACGCGCTAAACTACTGTGCCATCGAGCTACTTAATATATACGCTTTTTTAACAGACACTAATCCCAAAAGCCTAATAAAGGCTCCGGTCAACTACAATAGAAAGAAAGTTAAAGTTAAAAAGTACGAACACGCCGTGTAGATCAGGCACAATGGATGTTTGCAAATTAGTAATAAGGGGACTTCGGTCGGTGTTTTCCTCATCTCTCTTTTTCCCTTTTCTAGACGGCCGAGTTTCTTCACCATTACATTACATTTCCTACAGGATGTCACCCATATCGCGCATTTTATCTCGAGCTCCTCCTTTATTTGGAAGGCACGTTCAGCTGTTGGTTCTGGCTGCATCTGCAGTAGGTAGCACGACCTAATCTCCTTAATCCGTCCAAAGGAAAGGCCTGTGCTCCACAGCGCAGTGGGAACATTGATAGGCTGATGATAATAATTATTATTTCGTACAGAATCTCAGCCATATCGCTGCAGCCGCGCAGCCGCGGGTACGTCAGCATTCAGTCGGTGGACCCGCTGCAGCCGCCGGTGATGCAGCCCAACTACTTCCTTGACGAGCACGAGCTGAACGTCATCATCGACGCCGCTAAAATCGCTTACAAGCTCGCCAATACAACGGTGAGTCCAATCTTCGTTCTATGACTTTATCATCGACTGAGTATTTCCTCACGTCTTGCATACAAAACAGCTTCTGCTTCTGCAGTGCCAGAACAGGATGTAGAAAAAATTATTGGTCTACAATGTAGACATTATTATCACCACTTTTTTGTCATCCATATTTACATTTTGATTAGATGTGATGATTAAGTAGGTACCTATGTAAGAAGGGAAGGGGTGTGTGTCGCTTTCTTAGCTGGTAAACTGGCTGATGTGATGTTTATTAATGGAGGTTTTAGAGAGAAAATTTTTAAGTGGAGAAGCGTAGCGCTTCACAGCCGGCAAGAGGCCTTATTGGACAGCAAACAAGAATTGTGACCCGTCTGGTGATAAAAGGTCACCATACTGAATAGATGTTTGCGATACCAGAGTATCACACTACAATAGCAACGTGTCGGCGGCACCTAGATACAATTGTGTTAAAGCCGTATAAATTGCGGCTCAAATTCTTTCTGTCCCGGCGAGGTCTCCAACTCGAAAGTGGTGGATTTACATGGCGCAATGTACATAGATCTCAAACTATTTCTGCACTGCCAATGTCATTCCAAGTGGTCAAAACTCTTGTGTCATGAAAAACTTAACAGCTGACACACAAGACTCGGAAGTTAGGTACTTTCAATAGAAATCTCTACTAACCATTGTTTGAAATTCTAGATAATGCGCGAGAAATACGGCATGGTACCCACACCCGGGTACGGGGAGGAGTGCGGTAACAACTCAGACAGTCCCCCGGACGACTTCTTTAAGTGCCTCGCTATGTACTTCACGGCACCAGAGAACCACCAAGTGGGCACGTGCAAGATGGGGCCGGACTCCGACCCTATGGCGGTCGTGGATATGCAGCTTAAGGTGCATGGGATTGAGGGTGAGATTAAGTTTAATGTTATAAATATTGCGCGAACAACTCAGACAGTCTCTCGGACGAGTTCTTGAAGTGCCTTGCTATGTAGGTTCCACCGCGCCCGAGAATCACCAAGTAGGCACGTGCAAGATGGGACCGAAATCTGACCCTATGGCGGTCGTAGATAAGCAGCTTAAGGTACTTGTAATAGTTATTTATGATATTAGTGCGGTAAGTTGGTTATTAAAAACGAGTAGACGAATGTACCATAGGTAGGCATTATCGGCACATTTGCGAGTTAACAGTAGATACCTATACCTAATTTAAGTAATGAAGCAAATTTCTAATAAAAAAATGCCGCGTATTTCTAAATGACGCCACTTCCGGGTGGTGAAAAGTAGAACTAGGAATCTACATCTTTTGTTTTTTTTAGTATTAAAGTAAAACAGCGGTATAGATTAAAAGCATATCCAAGGCTTCTAATTTCGGTCATACTGACCAAAAAAAAAACATTGAAGGATACGCAGGGTGCCAGGCATGGGAACGTGCGGTAAAACGTTTTACCGCACGCTCTGTTGTATGGTCCGTAATTTTGAACTTTCGAACAATGTTTACAACCTCCGTAAATGCATTTTTTCAGCATAGGTGTGGAAAAATTATTTTATTACTGTGGTTAATAGTAGGTGGTTTTGTGAACAAACTGCCTACAAACCCAAGATATATTTGAACAAATCGACACGTCTCTTAAGATCTCGATAGTCATGAGCGTAGATGGGGAGGGGAAGAGTGGGGCATCCTAAAGTTCGAGTGTTGAAGAATTCCGTCGCCTCTAATCCTTAGGAATCATTCATAAGAAGTTACACCAACCCACCCTAGAAGAAGAACAACGCCGGTCCTACCCACTAAAAACCACCGGTACCCTCCTCGGCCCTTATGAGGGCGCTCTGGGATCGGCGCACCTACGTGCGCCACTACAACAGAGCGACACCAACCCACCCTAGGAAATATCACTAGCTACACCAATGTCGTTTGACTTGCAACTTACCTCCATCTATTTATCTGTTAGCTACTTTACGGTACCTACCTGTTCTTATAAAAATTATCATGAGATAATTTCTTTTCCAGGTCTAAGAGTTGCTGATGCATCCATCATGCCCAACATTGTAACCAGTAAGTATTAAAACCTCATATTAGGTTGATTTATATATGTTTTGTACTGAGCTGCATTATGGATTTTACATTTCAGCGTATTTCAAAAGTCACCTCGGGTATTACAGGTTTGCCACCCCATATTTCGAAAAATTTTGAAGTTCTGCTCGTCTTATATTGCCCCTTGTGGCCTACCGTGCAATACATATTCTAAAATCACAAATTCTAAGTAAAGATCGCCTTTGGATTTTTAACCTTAATGCATGTTTCATAAAATTCGAAATCCAATCCCGGGTATTCGGACTTGATTTAGTTTGATTTTATATAAAACTACTGATTTAATTGTGATAATCTTTCATTACAATTAAATTAGTAGTTTTGCAATCAATTGATAAAAAAAAATATACTTGTAATAAACTAACCTTGGACGAAGAATCTTCACTACTACTAACTAATAGTCGTTTGAAGTAGAAAAATATAATTATAGTACCTATCCATAAAAAGCTGCAGTCTAGAATCTAGTGCATTTACAAAAAAACAAGAGGTGTTAATCTTACCGACTTCAATTTCTGTAGGCAACACGGCAGCGCCCACAGTAATGATAGCGGAGCGGGCTGCCGAATTCATCGTGACCAGGTACCAGCAGTCGAAGCGGGGACAGGAAGGGGAACTCGGCAATAGGTTCGGCGAGGACAACGCCAGTCAAGCCAGTAACGAAGGAGATAGGTAGGTTTTATACACGTCTATTTGTGTCGGTTTTATTACACATAGAAACAATTGTGGTTCATTAATCTTATAAACGTTCCAAATTGATCCTTCGATCAGTTTTATTCGATTTCTAATATTAAATCTTATGAGCAATTCAAATTGGTCCTACGAGGCATTTTATATAATAAAATTATATATTAAAAGCCTAGCATGAATACCACAAATTACATTATATCGCGTCTAACTGTCGAACTTCATAGTAATTTGACAATTGAGCGTGATAAAAACGTGTTAATATCATATCGCGGTGCTCATGCTAAGGGTGCAGGAATAAGAATGAAGATTATTAAATAGGTTGAACCCATGACTTTCGGAGCTTGATGGCACAGGTGGTTAGCGTGTCGGCTGCGATGGTTGAAGTTAAGCAACTTTCACAGTGGTCGGTCATTGGATGTGTGACCAAAAGTCTTCTATCTCGAGTTACTCCGTGCTTCAAAAGGCACGTTAAGCCATTGACTCCAGCTGTATCTGCAGTCGCATTAAACGATTCAATCTTAAATAGTAGTAAATTGGCGAAAGATACATGTTATAATACTACACACACAAGCACACAGCGATATATACGTTATTTTTGTGTTATAATATTATTACTCATATTGATAGTCAAGTACCTCAAAAGCGCTATAATAAAATATATAATTTATTGTATATGCATTATAATAATACAACACCATTTACAGAAAACAACAATTCACAGTGACCATCGAAAAACAGCAACTACGTAAACTCACACTCGCAGAAATTCTTCGGGGATAAACACCTACACAGACATCTATATATAAGTATATGTAGTGCGAAACAATTTTGGCTCTTATTTTAATTAAAAAAAAACACTACAAATGCTTGTTGGCAGTTGAATTATGTTGATGTGTCAATCCTGTTTATTTTTTATTTGAATGTCGACCTTATTGATTATGAAATAAAGAGATGTAAATACATATAATATTAGTCATGCATAAGTTTACATAAATGTTGTGTTTCTTTTTCAATTTGATAAGGTCTACATTGAATACAGCAGAGAACATATACATCAAAACAGTACACATTTCTCATTTGCTACTTAACGTACCATACCCAAACAGCTGTGATTCACTCTAAAGAATTCACAAAAAATTCCCGTGCAAAAAGTGATCATATATTTTATTGGGTACAGTCTTATGTCAAAAATAGTGACTTGTATTTAGCATTCGAGTTCCTCGTAAACTAAAGCATGGTCCATTATTATAAGCAGCCATGTTGGGAACTTCGACTGCAGCTCTTGCTTTACCACGCAGCTTGTGACTATTACAATAAAGTTACACCTAAATACACTACATTAAATCACATATTGCCTTGGCATATTACCTACATAAAAATCGTTCGTTCATAATACAATCGAACTGATTTTTTCGCTTTTCAATTTGCATTCATCCCCAAACTGTATGATGTCCGGAACACAATTTATTGACTCAGTTTTTTTCTCATAAATACAGATGGAACAACTACGATGATGACGGTAGCAACGAAGCCAAACTGACGGACCACAGATGGAAGCCCTGGCACAAGGACTGGCCTCACTGGCACAAGGGCCACGGCCACGATATCGACTGGCATACCAAACACAATGTGCCTCTACAGTCTCAATATTCCAATTAATAGTTTAAGACTGACTTAACTTTTGTATTATTAGCGTAAGTTTGTTTAGATTTTAAGCTGTCAATAAAAAAAGTGAAGATGAAAGATGGTAAGTTTTATTTTTTTATCGCCTACTCTGTCCCCACTCTGGGGGCACAGGCATTCCTATGGATGGAATAGGGAGAATAGGTGGAATACCCACCACATTATTAATTCGTTTTGAATAAATAGACTTTAAAAAAACATGTCATTATTAGAAAAATATAATTATAAAAATAACAAACTCATAGATAATTATTTATTTCTTTTGTTTTTCGGTTTTGTCACAACTACTGGTTCTGGTTCTGATTCAGATCTGAAAAGAATATAATATTGCGTTAAGAACGAACGGGGTATGCATGACAGCGGTGCAAGTGCGGATTGGTGGGTGTTAACGACTGCAGCTGCAGCCGGGACCAACAGCTTAATGTGAATACTGAAACAAATAGGAGCTTGAGACTAAAATTCTTAGTCTCTCCTCCCATGACCGACCATTGCGAAAATTGCGTAACGATAGCCGACAGATGACACTAAATGGCGACGGTGTGGCCAATGAAAGGATACGATCCTGACAGCTAGTGTCAGTTCCTTATGTTGACAGAATAAAATACATTCGATCTAGTAAAAAAATCTGTCGCCATAATAAACTGACACAATATGTCATTCATGGGGCGCACTGTAGTTATTCTATGCAGAATCGATCTTGCAAACCTATGTAAAAAGTGAAATCTCCAAAAAAATATACGAATAATACTGCTCGAAAAATTTAAGATAGGAGTTGGAACGTTTCCTAATGCCGGCACTTCACTTGGTTATTCGCGTATGCTATTTGTAATCTTGATATCGGTCTGTCATTTCCATGCCTTATAAATAAATAAATAAATAATATAATAAATAATAAAATAAAAATCTTTTATTTCAAGACATGGTCTCATATAAAACATGATAAGTACATACTGTTATCAAGTTTACAAATAGCAAATACGAATAGGCAAGTAACGTAGTGTTGAGTAGGACTTACAAGAGGCGGTACATTTGTCCCGGACATGACGTCAAAATGTAAGAGCGGCTCAAAATTTTAAAATGTACTACTTCACATTGAATGTCGCGATAGTCGCGTCTCGTTACTCGCTCACTCTTCGTAAGTCTGAGAGAGAGCGAGGCATGACATTTCATTTAAGTCCTCTACGCACTATCCATCTTTATCTGTATCTCTCCTTCCTAATCCTTGTCACTCGCACTGGGTTGCGTTCAAAACCTACGCTCTAGGTGCAACAAATATCTAAGTTGACATTAGCTTCATACATTTTATGTCAAAATTTAAACGTCAGGGTAAAAGTTGCACTCAGAGCGTAGGTATTGAACGCAGCCCCGGGTTGCGTTCAGAACTTACGCTCCAGGTGCTACTCGTGCACACAAACGTAAAGTCGAGCTTCTGTACGCCTCAATGTCATATTTGTACTCGTCACTTCAAATGTATTGCCGAGCTTCAGCACGCCTCGCCTCATTTGAAGTGGGACATTGTACTGGCTCAGTACAAAAAAGAGGATACTCTTACAAACTCTTTTTCAAGTCGTGTCCTACCCAACACTAAAGTAACGTGCCGGCATAACACTAACTTGTGTACAACACCTGTACCCTTAGTACGAGTTTTACAAATAGATTTCGTTGAGCTCGCACTCGCAAGATTTTATTTTTTTCGTTCCAATACGAATAAACAGTGTTTAAATTCTATCATTAAATCGTTTGCGTTTCTTAAATTTTAAGTATATTTCGTTACTTTACACCAAAATAGACATAGTAATTTACAATTACGAAAACTATGATAGTTTTCGTGAGCTCAAACTCGTACTAAGGGTAGTGACCAGTAGCGCTCTTTCCATTACCAGCCACCGTAGGGTGCAGGCGTGTTCCTTATTATTCATCGTATTTTATCCGCATAAATCATAACCAAGTCTTTCAATGTATCTGTAATGACTTATGTGCCAATGCAAATATATTTTTATATTTTTATTCCGAACCGACCCAGTGTTTGTGTTATAGAATTTATTATTCAACTATTTATTAGATACTCACTCGTCACTAGCGTCTGGAGTTTCTGGGATCGTCACATTGCCTTTAGATGTTTGCTTGCTGTCCATTAATTCAGTCGAATCATTCAATAAAGATTGTTCCTGTAAAACAGATAAAGTTGTATTTATTTCTTAATATTTGCCATAACCAGGACTAGTTATCGTTTCGTCGTTTTCGTCGTTCATCGAATAGCAAGTGATTTGGATAAATTAAGGTTGCAATACAATTAGTTCAGGAAAACGAAACAAGTGAGTAGAGCGTTGTAAGTTTCGGGTGATGTTACAAAAAAAAATGGCTAATATCCCAACTCAGAGATGTCATTTCAATATAATGTTTTTAAAGTGACTTGCTGTCCTATTCTTGAGATATCTGGGTGTGACCATAATTTGTAAGTAAAATTGCAAAAAATGTGATAGATGTCTCACTACTTGCTTTTTACTCTAATTTATCATTATTTTTCTAAGTAAAAGTTATAACCATGGAACAGGAAGTTCAAGTACAAGGCGACAAGTTGTAAAGGCCTATGTTTTGATTGTAATATCTTTTCGTATACTTGGTAAACCTAAATAAATAAATGGAAACAGCGGCTTACAATTTCTTTCTCGTACACAATGGTGTGCAATTGTGTCTCGTCAGCGGAGTCTTCAAACATGGAGTTTTGCGAGCTGCTGCGATTGGACCCTACCGAGGATCTGGTAGCAACCCGTGATGATTTTACCTCTATAAAAAAAGGGGATAGAGTTCATTTTCATATGAGATTTATCATTACCATTCTACTAATATTATAAATGTGAACGTTTGTATGTTTGTTACTTAATCATGCAAAAACTACTGGATGGATTTGGATGAAATTAGGTACGCATATAATATAAATAAATAAATATTTCCAACACTAACACCAATTAGGCTAGCCCCAGAGTTAGCACTGTAAGGCTTGTGTTATGGGATACTAGGGTAACGGATTGAATACATATACTGTACATAATAAGTATATTTATATAGAAATACATATTAAACATCCATGACTGGAGTACAAATGCTCGTATTCATCACACAAACATCTGGCCCAACCGGGATTCGAATCCGGGACCTGTCGAGTCCTATTCAATTCAATTCAAATTGTTTATTACAGACAACAAAATGGTCCATCAAATCGTTAGTAACAATATTTAACTTAAATGCTATGACATATATGACCTGGATTGAGACACAGGATACTTTTTATAACGGAAAATTTTTGAAGATTCCTGTGGGATTCTCGAAATATTAAGTTAACGCATAAGAAGTCGCGGGCGGCCGCTAGTTATCTATATTTATACAAAGTATGAAGTCGAATTTCGCGTGTCTGTATATCAGATCACTTTCCTTAAACCACGTAACGGATTTTGATGCAATTTTCACTATTGGGTACATAATATTTCATGGTTATTTTTTTATGATATAACTTGAGAACAAAACTAGTATTGTCTACAAATTCTATTAAAAAGCGAAGTCAGGAGACAAACTATACCTATAAGTTCAAATTGAGGAACAGCTGAAAAAAAATCTATGTAAAATACATGACATAAAATATAATTTTTTTACAAACTACAACTTACAAAATTAAATGTCATATCTAATGGTATTTTGAGTTTGAATTAATAACTATTAGACGGCAGTGGGTATAAATTTACATTAAAAAAAAGCGAGTGTGCTTATGACCACACGACTGAAGTGAAACTTGTATAGCTCCAAAGATCTGAAAATCATAAGCTTAACCTGAAGATTTGTTGATAGAAAAAAAACACAAATCCGCGCTGGGTCTTTATCACCCTCTTATCCGCACTGGGTCCATTATCACCCACCAATCCGCGCTGTTTCCATTATCAACCATCAATGCGCACTGGGTCCGTTATCACCCACCAATCCGCGCTGTGTCCGTTATCACCCACCAATCCGCGCTGTGTCCGTTATCACCCACCAATCCGCACTGTGTCCGTTATCACCCACCAATCCGCACTGGGTCCGTTGTCACCCACCAATCCGCACTCGGTCCATTGTCACCCATCAATCCGCACTGTGTCTATTATTACCCTCCAATCCACGCTGGGTCCGTTATCACCCACGAAGCACAAGATTCATGTATTTTGTGACGAGTATTGTTCATTGTTTACCGATGAGTCACCGGTGACACTAATCGGTAAGCGAAATCGTAACACATTCGCCAGTTTACCCCCCAAGTCAAGCGTGCCTAAAGAAGTTTCACTTCAAAAAGGTAAGTAAAGGTGGTAAATTGATATTAACAAGTTGATTGTCGATCACGTGATTATCTATTTTTATTTATTTATTTAATCTTTAATGCCTTTACATTGCATATGGCGGACTTATTGCCAGCATGGCATTCACTACCAGTCAACCGGAAAGAACGTGCAGAGTCAATAAAACGGCAGACAATCATAGGAAAGAGCAAACATCAAACAATGAAAAAACAAAATTAAATAGCATTTAATAATTACACATATACATACATACACACACATAATATACTTATAATATAGTGTCCGTTATCATTTCTAATACTTTTGTTCTAAATGGCACACAAACCTTCAACTTTCTTCTTCGTCTTCCCTTTTTTCCCTTTCCCCTTCGATCCGGATCCGTTGGAATCCGAACTGGATCCAGATTGTATCCCCCTTGTAGATCTCCTTACAGTAACGTTGGAACTGTCCAAGTCGTTGAACGGTGGTGATGATAATGACTCGTCAGGCGAGGAGTTCTTTTTAGATTTCGCCGCTTCAGCTTTCGCTTTTTGCGCTGATGTTGACAAAGAAAGAAAATCAAAAATGAGAAATTGGACACGGTAATTTAGGTCGCAATATCATAATTGGTAGTGCATCCACCCGGATAGCAGATGGTGCGGGTTCGAGTCCCATCTGCAGTCTGGATGCGTGGATTTTTATTCTAGTAAAATTTTCTTTAGATTTTAACGTATATCAAGTTAAATGCTTAAAATGTAAATAAACTAAAAATTGCTATCTTTCAAATGTTTAATACTTGTAAAGGTACTTTGGTTTGACATTGTGGGCTACCTATAATGCGAAGAGATGGCCCTTCGTACCAAATTTCAAGATTCTTAGTTCACGGGAAGTACCTTTTGATTGCTTTGGCTTAGAAGTTTAATTTTTTCACAGCTCAAAGGGATTTTTTTTTGTATAGTTCGAATTAGTTTGAAAGACTATACATAGAAACCGAAGAATTGGCTAGGCGTCTTAATAAAAACAAATAAGTAGTTTACATTAGGAGTATATGAAAATTTAAACATGCTAACCTCTTTCGACATCCACCAATGATCTTTGAGAGCGACTCCTCTTGATTCCTCCCTTGTCCTTGTCTTCTTGTGTCGTCTGCTGGCTGGAAGTCTGACCTTTACCTTTGCCTTTTGTACCCTTTTCTGATCTTGATGATTGCTTGCTCAATGATAGCTTCTTTTTCTTAGCTGTTTAGTATTTTTGATAATGAGGACGGTTTTTTTTATTACTGGGATTAAAAGCTTTGTAGAAAGATCAAGGCAAAAAACGAATGTCAAGAAACCTTCTTAAAATAATTATAAAGCGCACATATTCATATTCGGATTTCAAGGAGTCAGTCGCCTGCACAGTGGTTCTGGGTTTGAATCCCAGTAAGGCATATGATTGTATGATGGATACAAACATTTTTACATAAGTCATGGATTTGGATTTATATGTTTTTTTATATGTCACGGATTTATATGTTTTTTCTAGACAAATATACTTAAATTATGAATGACTATATATATTATGTGTTTTATTCACTATCCTAGTATGCCATAAAACAAGCCTTAGAGTGCTTACTTCCGGTCTAGGCTGAATTGATGGTTATAACCAGTTTTTGCTATAATCTACGACAGAAGAATGTAAGTGGTATGTGTTCGTCGTAAGGCATGGACTTATTTCATAAATGAAAGGAAGCTGAGTTCTTTAGTTATCTTATGATACACAACAAAAGAAATAAATGGTTAAATAGTAAAATTATAATAATTACATTTAGTAGTTTTAGCTTTCTTGACTGGTGAAACACCACTGCTAGAGTCGGATTGGGGATCTTGCGCGGGCGCAGTTTCCGCTTCAGACGATTGCTTCGCGGACTTAGGGCTTGTGGATTCGCATGTCGACGCAGGTTCTATAGACAACAAGTTTAAAAACATGTAAAGTTCTTGTTTCGACAGCTGCGCACTTGTAGATATGCAAAAAGCTTGTTTATTATAGGATTTTAACAACTTTTTATACACATTTTTTTTGTGCCTTCTTTTTGTGATTTCAGGATTGTAGGTCATAAAAAGAGCATAAACGGTTCGTATCTTCTGATTATATGATTGAGCTGAGTATTTGAAATTCAGTTTGATACCTTCACAGGTTTCTGAGAACTTGACAGTTTGACAGCCAAACAGATGGGTAACAAGGTTATATTCTATAAGGGTTCCGTTTAGAGAAAATGTCAAAGAACCGTAAGTAAATCGTGATTACTCTTTTATGACTGTAATATGAAGCGACTTACCTTCAGATATCCTGCTGACGATATCCGATGGCGATGTCTCGTCTATTTCTACTTCTTCCTCAACTGTTTCGTTTATCACTACATGAGTGCTTCTCGCTAAAGGTTGAGCTGAAATGTATTGAAAAGAAAAAGTGATAAGTATTTTTTTAATTTTGGTAATTGTTTTGGTGATGCGGTCAAAACAATGAAATGTTTAACCATGACGTTTTCTAATGTAATACCTAATATGGTTATACAATAGGTTACTTAATACAGTTAAATGTTAGTAACACTATAATTTTATTACATAAAAGTTACTAATGACCTAACGATGTTTAGGTGATAACATAAAATACATGACAAAAAATACAGCTAACATTTTTATAAACAACATGAGGTGTTTTTTAATTACGCACTTCGTATTGTAATTTTAACGTGCTCACTCAAGTACATGAAATATAAAGCCGGGTCTCCAGCGCGTGATTTGTCATATATAATCAACAAAACACATACACAACCCCCCCCCCCTCCCCCCGCGCGGGTCGAAGGCCAGGGTATTGTTTCATCGGGCATTTTTTGACAACTCTGTAACGGAACTCGCTAGTGGGGGGCTCCGTTCCAAGTCTACGCTTCGAGAACAACTTTTCACTCTGACGTTTCAATTTTGATATAAAATGTACGAAACTTTTGTCAAATACATTTGTTGCACCTGGATCGTAGTTTTTGAACGCAGCCCTGTGTATTTTGTGTACGACAGCCACGTGAGCAGTAGACGGCGTGTGTAGAGAAACATGTTTCAAATAGAAAGTTTTGTGTATGTGTTTCTGTATGTTTTCAAAAAACTTTTGCTGGAAACCCGGCATAAGTAAAAATCTAATATAAAATTACCTGCCAGGGCCAGGATTACGTGGAATGGTTGGATTTTCGTGTTTAAATTACGACTACATTAGATACCTTTTCGTGAAAAACGAAAAAAAACTGTTTTTGTAGCGAAAATTAAAAAGAATTAGGAGGCTCTCTCAGTCTCATTGGATAGCAAACGAAAAACTTTGCAATAGCCGTCTATACAATGGGTGACCAAAAATGTATTAAGTCAAGTTTCTCCGTGCTACAGGCTCGCACGTTACGCCAATGGACCCGTCTGTATCTGCAGTCATTAACACCCAGCAAACCTTGCCGAGTCCCTTTCTTCTCCTTACTCCGTTCATAAGGAAGCCGTGTACCCCAGCAGTGGGGCTATGAATAGACTGCTATTATTATGATGAAAAAAAAAGGGTTTGGAAACGTTCTCTACTACTTGTCTATCTAAAAGCAGTCTTGGCAGGCAATTTTATGTTAACCTTTTTAAAACATTCAACATACGTAGCTTCATTCTGTAGAGTATACCGCTGGACGGTCTACTGAATTTGTAGCTGGAGAAGCCGCCTGATTAAAATTATTAATTAAAAAAACCGTGAGCTCAATATAAGTGATGCACAGTATACTCGATTGTATATAAATCATTTTTCTACATTTAAAAAGAATGGGAGAAGTCAGATTGTCCTGGGAGATTTTACTCATAGTATTAATATATAATAAATGTAATACGGAGAGCGCAGGATCGTTGCATAATATGGAAATCCCATATGGAAGCCTATGTCCAGCAGTGGATGTCTGTCAACTGATGATGATGATGAAATTGAATAAGCTGTGGTGACCTTTATAACTATTTATTCTAAAGAAATTTGAAATCTAAAGAATAAAATAAAACCTATCACAGTTGTTGTTGCAAGATGAAATTATATTTCAATGGTAATAGGGTAGAAAACTCTTAAAAATAAAACTTTCACCTCCCTTATTATCTTATTAAATGTGGAGTAAACCCCCCAAATTTACAATAAGTATACATAATTAAAATAACAACGTTTATTTTTCTTATTACAAATAATGTCTCAAGATAAAGAACCAGTTTAGTTTTCAGTATATGTAAGAAACTGGTACCTAAACTAAGCTGTGGCTTGTAATATAAGATACCAGGCTCCTCACTCTCGTAAACAATATTTGGTAAAGCTAGGTATGTACATTGAAGACATAAAAAACACACACATCATCAATTCAGTTTACTCACTTTGAAGCTACTTAACCGAATGAAATGTGAACATGAATATCCTTTTTATGAGATCCACCCCAGGTAGTAATACAGTAGGATATTATATTGACAAAAGCGTAATAAGTACTTTTTAAAGTTTAAGGATCAGCAACAAAACAGAGATATAAGTAAGTCCTTATTCTATTTGTTACTATGGATATGTGTTCATTGAAATTTTTTTTTTTTATCTATAACTATACACAGATATCTAATATTTTGCATTTGCTAAGTAAATGACCAACCACAAGATTTATTAGGTGTTGAATAGGTGTGAGTAATAAGATCATGATTTGGTGGAAGTGTAGAGTTAGTGAATTTCGGGTGGTGAAAGCCATAAACTTGGTTTTATTAGAATTGGAAGCCAACCAACTACATACAGTATTTAAGCCCTGCTGAGCTGAAGATAGGGTGGCATTCCATGAGTCACCAAAAAGGTAAGAATAGTATCATCAGCATAGGATATTAAGTTACAGTTTTTAAGTGATAGTTTACAAAGGCCATTGATGTAACATAAAAATAACGCAGGTCCTATTATGCGACCCTTGTGGGACACCCAAATTCACTTGTAGTTTATTGCGTAAGTTACTTACGTAATGATGTAGTAACACGACCAGGTGTCTGCGCTATGGTATCCTCATTTTGGATTGTTCCTTCTGTAATTCCTGGTGACAAAACAATTTTTCATTATTACCATTAATAAATTCCCAGCAGACATAAATGCATATTATGGTTTAGTTACTAAGCAACCGTTGATATTTATAAATAATCTAACAGAAAAGTGTTATTAGTTCTGATAACCTTATCTTTCTTGCTGGATTTCGATTATTGAATAAACAAACAAAAAGTACCTACGTTATCAAATATAAACAATTTGATTTTAGGTAAGATAATACATTAAAATATATAATTAACATACATTAATATCTTAAATTTCTTAAAGTTCATTGATCTGAATTAAATATTATTTCTGACTAGTGAGAAATAGTAAAATATATTGTTTATATTTTTGTTTTTCTTTTATACATATAAACAGAGAAATTTTTAGATAAAAACATTGTTGTTCATATTTCTTTCTTATAAATAAACGTTGTGTTTACCTGTATTAGACATCTTGTTTAAACTGGCGCGTTCCATAGCCTCCAAAGCACCTAGGTAGCGGGTGAGATTCCTGCACGACTGTTTATCGGGTAATTTCTATAACCAATCAAACATTAAATATTTTAATACGTTATTATAGATATGTGTTGGTGTTTGTTTGTATCTTGCTATATAAAATCATTACAGCATGATAAAATTATTTTATTGTACTTAATTACTGATACTGAACTCCACCATCTTATAGATTCTGTCAAAATTGCCAAGGTTGCCTGGAAGAAAATGCTTTTAGCGATAAGACCGCCATCTGTCACCGCTAAGTAAGTTTAATGTTATTTTATATTGACACTTACGTGGTGTAATAATAGTAAGTTATCTTAAGTTATATTCTCCCCCTTGCCCGGCTTCTCCGTCCTTCCATTATCGCGTCGTAACTTACAAAAGTCTAGTCAGTAGTAATTAATTTTCATGTTATGTTTGTCTCACCCGGCACAAGTGCCTCAGCATAGTGGCCAAGTCAGCGGCCAAGTGTTGGTCGCGTAGAGGCGATAGAAGCGCCAACATTCGACACACTAAACCCATTTATGTAGAAGATAGTACACACAAAGGCACAGAGGTCCAAGCAAGAGATTTTGACAGTTCCGTAACGTAACGCATTGTATAGTTCCTAAGAAAACTAAGCAGCGCCAGCGCCCCTGCCGGACGTAAGAAAAAACTAGCTTTTTCCATACGACGATCGACCTCCGTGGCCGAGGGGTTTGTACGCCGGGTTTCAAGGTGTCGCCTATCCGAGAGGTCCCTGGTTCGAATCCCGGTGATGGCAGATGATTGTGTGACGAATTTGTACTCCAGTAATGGATGTTAAATAAGTATTTCTATATAAACATACATAAATAATGTATCAGTATATGTATTCTATCCGTTACCCTAGTATCCCATAACACATGCCTACAGAGTGCTATGCTAATTGGTGTGAGTGTTGGAAATATTTATTTATAATTTATATTATACAAAATTTGACGACTACTTTACAGAGTTCCCCTTAGCATTGTTCTTATTTCTCATTCATAACTCCTTTTATACACGCACATTAAATTTTGCCGTTTCTGACGTCACCTGCGACTAGTGTTTAATCCACCACCACATCCACTCTCCTGGCACAAATCCATCCAGCATTGTGGCCAACTCAGTAGCCAAGGCATGATAAATTGGCTATACCCTACCTCTCCTTGAATGTTTGTCTTAACTTGTGTTGGTAAATCCTCTATATTTATTACCTTTCTTGAATGTTTGTCTCACCTGGCACAAGGCTCTCAGCATGCTGGCCAACTCAGTGTTAGTAAATTCGCCTTTCCTCTCACTTTCCTCCTTTCACTTTTAGAATGTTTATCCCAACTTGTGCTGGTAAATCCACCATATATCTTACCTTTATGCGAATGTTTGTCCCATCTGGCACAAGACCCTCAGCATAGTGGCTAAGTATTGATAAAACGGCTATTATCCCGCCTGCCTAATTCAGTGACCAAGTGTGCAATTAAATTCATCAAATCTTACATCTCTTGGAAAGTTTATCTCACCTGACATAAGTCTCTTAGCATGGTGGCTAATTCAGTAGCCAAATGTTGGTCGCGTGGTGGCGATAGCAGCGCCAACATTCGACACGCCAACCCCACTTCTGTGGAAGACGGCCGTCGCACTATATAGTTGCAGAGACTCATCGCCATGGAGCCTTGGCTGTCTGTCAGCTGTAGAAATATATTGAAGACTTTAAAATATAAAAATAACTGAATTAACCTTAATTTTTTTATTAAAAATTTGTATTGACACTTCTCTTGTGATATTAACAGATTAATAAGACAAAAAACATGATGAAGCATTAGCCCAGTTAAATCTGGTAATCGTTAATTAAGTATGATTGTAATAATTCTAGACGTAAATAATGTTAAGCATTAAAAAAATAAACAATTGTTACTATTAATTCAGGATGGTAAAATATGAATATTGCTTGAATTTTCGAGTATTAATTTCTTTAAAATTAGGCAAAATAATTAATATTGCAAAACGGAATGAAAGAAAAAGGGTAATTACCTCGTGATTGACTCTTGTCAGTGAAACTATGAATCTCACTACAGCCTCTTGGTCTATTTCGGCAAGCGGAGAACTAGACGGAGCATTCGCTAGCGTGCGTAGTGTAGGCAGCGTCGCTTTCTGTTAAAAGGATATATTTATTTCACTAATTAATAGGGTATATTGCATGTAATTAAAATAAGCCTCATTTTATTTATTTTATAAACTCGCTTTTAAGTTGTCCCTCCATCAATATTAGTTAATAAAATTTCTTTTCTACCAAAAAAATTATGATATAAAAGTGCGAAAAACTTGTGCGAAATTCAAATATTTGAAACGCGACGAGAGCTGTTGTGACAAAATTATATAGGTAATATAGTCTAGTCAACTTTTTGGTCAACTTTTTTCAGCAGTCTCCGAAAATTATGATCGAGGTGTCATTCGATTCGGAATGGCATCTAGATGATTTTTGAAAAAAATGAAGTTCCACAAACAAAAATTGCAAAAGTTATTAACAATTAACTAAAAAAAAACAGGAGGTTTCGTTTTTTGCAAATATCTCGAAAACTAATAAAAATATTTCAAATTAAAAAAAAGACATGAAATAATGGCGAAATTACAGAGACCGTATATTAAAAAAATAAAATAAAAAAAAAATAAACAAAAAACCTAATCATGTCTGTTTTTGCGACAGTAAGTAGAATAGGAAAAAAAATATAAGATAAAAATTTATTTCGGTAAAACATTTTACCGCACATTATTACATTCGTCTTCTCATTTGTAATGAACAACTTACCGCACTATTTGGCATTAGAAAAATAACTATTATTTGTAGGTTTAATGTATCGTGACATCAAATCCAAGCGTTCCAAAATAGTGCGCGTTTAAGCTGCTCGTGCAAAGTATATTTTTAACATGTCTTTTAGACACTGTATGCTTTTTTTTTGACGTTGTATTTTAATACCTAAAAGGGGGTGTAAACTACTAAATGAAAATATAAAAAATGGATGCATATTCCTTATTACACTAGTCCCAAAGCACGGCCCAATAATATATATAGGACCAACGAGTCCATACAAAACTGCGTACCCCGGAATCATGGTCTTACACTGAGATAGCGAGATGTTAAAATCATTAATTAAATGATTGAAAAAATACTTCATTCCATCTATTTATTGATGTAATGCAATCAACACTTACTTGTATTTGCTCTTGAGAACCTTCAACATTTGCTGGGAATGTTTGGAAGAACACTCCAATGGTTTGTCTCAGCATGTCCTCTTCAACTAAAATAATAAATTAGAATAAATCTTCTAGATTGTGTACTTAATTATTTATTGTAAAATGAGCTTTATGATCAAAACTATAAAAGAATAATTACCAGTGGCAGGGTTGAACCAGAGCAATAGTAGACGACTTAAAATAGCGGGCGATTCCAAATGTCCTAGATGCAACAGCCTGCATAGACCTTCTACAATTATCAGCCGGTATGTCGCACACTATAAATAAACAGTAAAATATGATAAAATAACAATATTAAGTTTAAATTTGAAAACACAAATTTAAAAAGCAAAGTTGATAAAATGCTGATTTTAGTTTATTCGTTTTCTCCTTAACAAAGCCTTTTTTTGATTTCGTATTATTGATAGTGCACAACGTATAACGCATTCGCCAACCTACCCCCCAAGTCAAGCGTGCGTAAAGAAGTATCACTTCAAAAAGGTTTATTCCAGGAGATGTTCCTTATATACTGCGATACTATTCTAAAAGCAATAAGTATGTACGATATGTACTACCGCGCTCAAGCAGAAGCAGCTCAGAACAAAGCTTAATTTCTGTCTCAAAGACGTTGACTTTACTTCCTCACGCAGTTACACGGAAAATTAATTTGTTTGTGATGTGACTAACGAGAAGTGTTGCCAAAATCAATAGCGGTAACTTTTAGATAATAATATAAATCAATTTCGTCAATATAGTTTAATGTTCAATGAATATCCGTTTATCGATAACAACGGAATTAGGTACCTAACGAAAACAATTATGACTAATTCGAACCAGGCCGTCGTCACATCATAAAAAAATCACAATGTATGGAATTAGGAACGTAGGTACTTTATACCAACACTGAAAATTAATATCATTATAAGTCGCGTCATGTTGGCCAGCATGTGACACATCAAAGACGCACTTATTACGCCTGTTGGCCTGTCGCGCTTTTTGTTCAGTTATTTTTTCCAGTTTTACAGAATTTATAACTAAAAATGTTTATACAAACATTAAGGTGGCAAATACTTGTGACAGTTGAAATTTGTAGTATTTAAAGAGTGAGAAGGTTGAGCAAACTCATATTTTTGGCTGGATTACACTTAAGCTAAACATGTATTTTATTAAATGTTTTCTAGTTATTAAGTAAATTTGATAAAACTAGTTTTAATGGGTTAATGCGCGAACTTTGTTTATTTATGACGTTTCGCAGCCTTTTCAGGTCTGCAGCGTCAGAATAATGATCGTCATTATATATATATTAATAATTCTGTTAATATTTTTTTATCTCTCTCTGGTTCAGTTTTATCACAACCTCAATTTATTCTGAACCTGAGTCTCATCTAAATAGTCCTCAAGAATTTATTGGAATTTGGGACACATCCTAGCTTTTCAATTCTTATGGCGGTTGCAGAACACGAGCTATCGAATTGGTTCTCCCATGTTCAATGTATTCGTCACCGAAACCTGTGTGGTTTTACTTTGTATATTTTAACTAGTTAATAAAATTATCAATTTTAATAAAACGATATTTGTACCTCCTTATTTTACTGGTAAAATGATAAAAAATATAAAAATATAGCAGCGAACCAACTTCTAAGTACTACTTAATATTTATCGATATCGATTACATATCGATAGTAGATCTATATTGCTTTGACATAGACACTTTAATGTTGGTACTTCTGACAGTCATTTTCAGGTTGGTAGAAACTATGTTCCTAATTCATTTTAATAGCTTCTAGGGAAGTGCCGTCTCTTAAAACGTAAAAGAATTCTTATAAAAATATAATTAAAACTTACTGTGCTATCCATAATCTTCAAGAGTAGCTCTATCACAGTGCTATGGGCAGGCGATAAAGATATCACGGATTCTGAGATACTTCCTGCAATGAACATTTCTAATTACATAAATAAACTTAATCAAACAATAATCCAACTTGCAACAGTGACAATGACAATCAAACTATATTATTTATGCTAGTTACGCAATCAAGCTTATAGTATAGCATAGTCTATATCTATACAAAGTTTCATCCCATATCACCCCGATTTTTGCGACAAATTGTATAGTTCCCTTTATCTCCAAACCAAAATAATCCGTCTAAGCATGAAAATGTAAGAAAACAATTTCTATCTCATTTATATAATTAGAGATTTAAATGTATTATACATACCATCTTCATCAATAGCATCCAAAGAATGATAAGTGCTTCTCTTCCTAGAAGAAGTTTTTGATTCGTCTCTTTGCGTAGCATCCGTCGCTTCGTCTTCAAACACGCGCGCTCCGTGCATGCATAGAAGATCCACGATGGATTTCAGTACCGTGGTTACTATGGGCTCGTTCGAAGTGTCTATTAGCTGTACGCAAAATAAAAACATCATCTAAAAATACAAAATATAAATTACATCACAAATTTTCATAAGGTTAATTTCAAGGAAGTAGATAAAAATAAAGGTTGAAAAGACCTATTGAAGGGAGGCAAACGTATTACAAAAACTTGTAGCTTCATTTCAAAAGCACAAAATGTCACAACAAACACAATTACAAATAAATGTCAAAGGACAGAGATATTATCCTTTTTAAGTAGGCACAACAGAGGAAGTCAAGGGAAAAATACAAAATGCCTGATGCATGCTTTCTACTTACAAGATTGGAACTTATGGAGTATTTACTTGAAACCTATTATAGAAAAGTAAATAAAATCTTGGTCTCCACTAGTTTTAGTATAGAATCAGAATACTTACATTAGCAAAGAAGAAAGCTTTGTTCTCTTTGGCAAATTCCTTATCTAGCATTCCGTATAATGCTACTGTCTCCAAAGCATTCTGCAGAATTTCGGGATTTTGAAATATCTCCACCTGAAAGTTAATTGATATTTTTTATAAAAATATTAAATAATAATACATATAAAGTGCAATAAAGAAAAACAATAAAGATTATTTTCTTAAATTATTTTTTTCTTATTAGATTGTCTTTATACTACAATACTATAACCCTTAGGACGAACCATTATCGAATTCCAATAGTTTGCGAGTCCGAAATGTCATTGTGAAATTTTGTATGAAAACTTGAGCAGCAGCTCCATAATTTAAGTAACGAGAACTAAAAATCAGTACACATTTGACAATGACATTTCGTACCCGCAAGCGTTACGAATTCGATATTGGTTCGTGCTAGGGGTACTCTTGTTGTAGCACTGTAAAGGATATAGAGTTACCTTATAGCTCTACAAAACGCGGTGCTGTATTTTTCTTATACAGCACTACATAAAAGCGTTCCAGTAAAATGACGATCAAGTTTCATAATGATGAAAATCGACTTGAAGTTAGCTGATTGGTTTGGCTGCACAGTGGTGCAGACATTTATATTTTTACCAAAAATGTATGAAACAATGTCTATTTGACTGACGCAGGTTCCAACTTCAATCCGCAGTAAAGTATTAGGAGTAGGTAAAGAAAGCAAAATCTCAGTATCTTGTCTTGTTTGTAGATTTAATAAATCGTGGCCGTCACAACCAAGCTTTCCAAAATAGTTCGCGTTTAAATTGTCCATGCAAAGTAGTAATTTTTTATATATTTTCTTAACACTATACGATTTTTACGACGTTGATTTTTTTATACTGTATAAAGGGGATGTAAACTACTAAAAAAAACATACATAACTATTGAAATTATAACTAGAAAAAAAACAAATATAAATAGATAGATAAATCCGATAGATAAAAAAAATCTAGTTCTATTTTCTTTAGATTTAAACATCAAGCAGTTATACGCTTAAAAAATTAAAGTTATAAATACATAGCTATTCCCTATCGTTGAAGTAAGATACGGATAATTGACAATTGAAACAAAATGGCTCTAATATGTCGACTCGGTGAAATAGTGCCCTAGTAACTTCAGATTGAACAATTATATCAGACGAACTGTACGATAACATTAAAAATTTATCCCACCTCAAGTTCATTGAAAATCATCTGCAGCATAGGAGTCACAGTCTTGAGTTGGGGGGTGTCAAGCGCGCAGTTCAATATAGTCAGACATTTGTTCAAGGTCTCCGCATCAGAAATCTTCTCCCTAATAGTCTGTGGAATCAACGACACTTTACGTCAATACAGGTATTTTATAACTTTATATATTTTTTTCCCTAACTCAATAGGAAGTTATTTATAGCTATTGACGGGATTGTTACCATGTACCTTGTTTTTTATGAGTCTCCGATATTTCTGCACTGTTGCAAACGCCATGATCGCGGAGTAACATAAGTAATTGCGGGTAGATGTTATTGACAGACATATCGGTCTACCCTCTGACGTCGTCTTTTATTGCGCTCGATACCACTGGTCACATTCTCAATATCCACTCGCACCTGTTCTCGCCACACAATACTCACAGTATCAGATCGCGGAACGACACTTTTTTATTTTTGCGGTTTTTGCACATACAGTCCACTGGATTCCAGACACTTGACAATTAAAACCCATCCACACGAATTTTATTATGTGTTTGGTTATTTAAATAGCTACCCTGACCAATCTCGGTATGTAGTGGCGGTCTGTCGAGATAATTTGTGGATTATGGATCTCAATCCAGTGATTAGAACCCGAACCAATTAAATGTTCCGTGGTGGCTGATTTTTGCGTTGGCTTGATTTTATGTGTTCTTTTATTCGGCAATAACGGAGACTCATAAAAAACAAGGTATGGTAACAATCCCGTTATTAGCTATAATGTTAGTGACCATGAAAGTTTAAAACAATTTATCAATTGTTCTTTTCGAAATATTCTAAAGCTGTAACATATTAAATGTTATATCGGTGTGTATGTAAATTATTCTGTTTTAATCAATTTCTTACAGGGATTGGCGCAGGAGGTGGAGTGGGCTGCACATTTAGTTCTTCCAACTTCTTTTGAATGTCTGCAACCTAAAATTTAACAATATTATTAATGCAGTTTTTGTTAGACCAAAGTTTTTTTTCATTATATGCTACTGAAGTATATATTATTATGTGTGTATATATTATTTACTATATATTATAATTATTGCCATGAAGATTTTGATTTTTTCAAGCGCATCATTCATATATTAGTAATTCAGAAAATGATCAGTTAATGATTCGGGTAATGAAGAGAATTTATATTTTCATTTTTTTTATGTCATCTGTAGCAACACCGCTTTTTCACAGCTAAAAAGGATTAGGTAAGCAGTGAAAATTAAATAAAACTAGTTTTAACGGGTTATAATGCACGAACTTTATTTATTTATTGTCGTTTTGCAGTCTTTTCAGGTCTGCATTGTCAGAATAATGATTTTTTATTTACTTTCTCGAGCTACTTTCGAAAGACTTTTATTGAGTGTTCAGATATTTTATTGGAAGATTTTTAAAACTGTTGAATCATGCTGGACAAAGTAAATAAAAAAAACATTATTCTGACGATGCAGACCTGAAAAGGCTGCGAAACGTCAATAAATAAATAAAGTTCGTGCATTAACCCGTTAAAACTAGTTTTATTTAATGAGTGATGTGCGTGAAAACCAAAGAAACAAAAAGTGAAAATTAAGTTTATGGCAAAGTTTTCGAAGTTCACTTACCTTTGCTTTGCATTCAGCAGCGAGCGAATAATTCTCGTCTCTTACGGCCTCCTCCTGCGCTTCTATAGCAACATTAAGTGACACTCGTAAACGGGCTCTCTGTAACAATGACATAAACCTTGCTTGTAGTTGTTTAAACAAAACATATATCAACTTTTTTTATATACACTCACCGGCACAGAAACTTGGCCACCCGTTACTTTTGCTTTGATTTGAATACAATATTTATTTTTGCATTTTATTTAATTGAGATCTAACCCATGTTCACTTTTATAGTGGTTTTTAACAATTTTTTACGTGTTCGTGAAACTATTGCATCAAAAAGAAAATTTTGATGAAAAGTGTCACTTTCACAGAAACTTTTACTTAATTTTCAAACAGTGCACACTGAAAAGTCAACTTTTTTTTTGTTTTTTTTTTGCACACCTCAGTATCGGGTGTTTCCACCCCTTGCCCTGATGACTGCCTGCATCTGATCTGGCATGCTTTGGATGATGTTTCTAACATCAACTTGCGATAAGGTCTCCCATACGGTCAATACTGCATTTCGAAGCTCGCCTAGCGTTTGCGGCGGGTTAGAATAGGATTTAATTTTTCTTTTGAGTATGTCCCAGATGTGTTCTATGGGGTTTAAGTCCGGGCTACGCGCAGGCCACTGTAATTTTTGAATACCAAGGTCTTGCAGGTAGTCCTCAACGCATCGTGCAACGTGTGGGCGTGCATTATCGTGCATTAATTGGAACTGGTCGTATCCAATAAGCCCCATATAGGGTACAACATGATTACTGTAGGATCTCCTTAATGTATCGAGTTGCAGTTAACCGATTGTCAATGATAACCAACTCCGTACGAGCGTCGGAACTTATTCCTCCCCATACCATTATGGAGCCTCCATGAAAACTAACAGTTTCAGTAGTAGTAATAGGAAGAAACCTCTCTCCTCTTCTTCTTCACACTCGTAATCGACCGTCTGGTGCACGTAACGCGATTCTGCACTCATCCGTGAACAAAACTTTAGCCCGTTGCTCGTGTGTCCAGTTGGCGTGTTCTCGGACGAAACGAAGCCGAGCTACTCGGTGCTGTCTGTTGAGTTCTGGACCTCGGGCTGGTCTTCGCGCTTTTAAATTCACCTCCTCCATTCTTCTTCTTATCGTACGCTGACTTACATTCACACCTCTTGCAATTTGGAGTCGCTGTCGTATCTCAACCGCAGTGAGGTAGCGGTTTCTCAAAATTTCCAAAACGATAAACGAACGTCCCGATTCGATGTGCATCTTACACCTCCACTGCCTGGTCTACGGCGATAGGTACCTATCTCACGGTATCGTTTTAAGGCGTACTGCATTGATGAACGCGGCACATTGAGTACAATAGCCACCTCACGTTGGGTGAGCCCTTGGTCAATTAGGGCTACCGCTTGTGCAACTTGTGCTGGCGTTAAAGGCATTTTTTTTTGCTTTTTAAATAAGTTTGCACTTTAATAAAATCCAAAACAACACAAAAATTAAAAAAACGCTACAGTAAACTACACACATAACAACATTCAAAACTTCAATTATATTGCTTAAAATACGCGATGTGACTAAATCTCACAATTTACACCATGAAACGCTCAAACATAATGAATTACCCTCTTGAAACAAAGCTAGCATTTTTATGACCCACCTTTATAAAAAACACTTGTTGTAAACACTTGAAACTTATGCTATAGCTTAAGAAGTGTTTGGCCAAGATTCCGTGCCGCTGAGTGTATAACATCATCATAAGTGAGCAGACAGCTCACTTGATGATAAATGATCATCGTCGCCCATAAATATTACATCTGCAACGACTGCAGGTGCAACCGGGACCAACGGCTTAACGTGCCTTATGGAGCACGGAGAAGCTCGAAAAAATAAATTTTTGGTCATAAATCCAACGACCGGCCATTACGAAATTTACTTAACTATGATCGCAAAGTCTTCCCATTAGCAATTTTACAACAATTTTACACACAAAAACGTCTTCTATGCAAGTTTGTTTGTCTGTGGTATTGTTCAAGAAGTTTGCTGCTACCTATAACAATACGAAGATTATCACGTTACCTGCATTTTAACTTCCGTGCTGTCTACGGGCGGTGGAGGCGCCGGCGCATCTACTTCCGGCGGATCTCTGAGTGCCGATATCACGCCGCTAATAACCTCCATACGGGGAGATACTTCGGGCACAACCAGTTCCAGCGCAGATACGAACGCGCGAATTACGTCGCCATTCAGAGGACCGTAGTCACCTAATCAATCAAAAATAAATTACCAACATTTGGTATTTATCTACCAATGGCCAGTTTCAATAAAAAATCTCCAGTTACCTTTTGTAAAGATAATCTGGTTTCGTTTCAAAGCAACAGTTGTTATTATAATCTTAATAATAAACGTATCTAGGCAACCAAGAACTAATAGGCCTGTGTAATTGTTTCTTTAGCGATTTGATTTCATAATTGAAAAAAATAAGTTAGGTAACATTGACACTCTTCCTTACTCTTTTCCACTAGCTCTTCCTTTCAAGTTCTATCTATATAGATTAAGCTTTTAATCGATCTTCTTTAATATTGTATTCTTAGCGGTTGAAATTGGAGTTGAAACTACTAGTCAACGGCCGTTGCAAAATAAAGATATGAATCCCGTATACCTATCGCATCCAGTTGTGATCCAACCCAGAGGTTAAAAGGCCTCTGGGTTGGACGCATACATAAAATTTTAAGAAAATCGACCCAAGTTTGAATACTTACATAAATATAACATGAAGTGAATAAATATAATTAGATAAAAGTTACAAGTTATATCTAAACTCACCCGTAAGAATATCGGTTATAAGGGTCTGCAGTGAAGTCCTGCCAGTAGGGTCAGTGGCATCGTAAACTTTCAACATACTACCCAACTCGTGAAGCACATATTGTCGGGTACTGAACCCCACGGGGTCCTCTGTCTCTGACGGACAAGGCGACTCCACAATACTGGAATGTTTCGTTTTATTACCAACAGCAAATCTGATCTATTTGACAGTTACAGTGCTAACTCTGAATATTGATATTTTACTTTAGATTTAAATAAATAACTCTGAATATTGATATTTAACTTTAGATTTAAATAAATAATCTTGTTTGTGCAAACAAAATATTTGAATATAAATAGTTTTTTTTTGTGGCTGAATGAAGCCCCTTATTCCTTCCCTCTCCTTAAGTCTGATTTTTGATATTTGTTTAAAATCTTTAAATGAGGTTGTTTAGGAAATTTAGTCTCCAGTTGGCGCCACTGTGACAAGAACTCTTTTGTATTAAGGAGATTGCTCAGCTTCCATAAATGTTTGGCCTAAAGACCAACAATCATGAAAAATTGTTTCCTAGATTCGTAATCTATACTTATAATAAATCTGTAGAGATGTCAATTCTGTACATGAAATATATTTTTAAAATAACTATCAGGGGGTGATTAGTGATCGATACTGATGCCAAAAATGCAATCAGTAAATTTTTTGTCTGTCTGTCTGTCTGTCTGTCTGTGTGTATGTTCCTTATAGAAACAAAAACTACTCGACGGATTTTAACGAAACTTGGTACAATTATTCTTCATACTCCTGGGCAGGTTATAGTATACTTTTCATCACGCTACAATCAATAGGAGCAGAGTAGTGAAGGGAAATGTTGGGAAAACGGGAGAAGTTACTTAATTTTTTAAGCTTCCGTCGCGTGTGCAGCTTTAATGGTTAAAGTTACATAGAAATCATGTATCACGGAAATATTCTCCATAAAATTGTCTAAAAAATATCCCGCAACAGCATATGTCTATCTTTTATGGTTGACTCACAATAACACGCGTAATTATATAAATAAAGTCATTGTTTATTGCACAAGCCTGAGAACAAAAACTATAGTTTACACTACAGCTCTACACCGAAGCGAAGCGAGGGCGGGCCACTAGTTATATATAAATTACTGTAGAAATGAATATTATTGACGGACACCCCTGAGAACTTCTATAAACCATATACACTGAACATATTGAAATAATAAAAAACAAATTAGTTATATAGTACACTAGGGAAATCAACCCAAGTACCGATATTATGGAATCGATTCAGGTATATAGAGCATGTAGATTAACAGATACTTGCCTGTTTTTAAAGTTAATGCATAAGAGTAACTTTTAAAATCAGATGTCATTTCCGGTTATAGTAAGGTACTCTGTGACAGAAACTGTGTGATGATTGTGAATGAGCCACAGATTAGAGAGAATTTTTAAAATCTCTTTAACCAAAGTAAGCTAAGAGATTTAGGTTCTATAGCCATATATTCAGTAGCTTCATTATTTTTGTTATGTTTTTAAGATAACCATATTTTAGATTTTTAGTGTATCACAGCTTATAATTTTATTTATTTATTAATTTATAGTCAGGCAACGTAGGCCCATAGATAGATACCTTAAAGTCTAACATATATACAGATTATAATGTGTTTATGGAGGTGTTTGGCGAAAAATGTATGGCAATAGACTTTATGATGTCGCCTACCATCTATAATAATTGTCTGAGCACATTTGCATCTAGTGAAAATGATAATATAGTTGTGGATATTATTACCACAGTGTAATAAAAAAATGATTTATTGTATCGATCTTTACAAAATAGATATGTTTTTATGTTATATAAACAACTTCGATCAGTCTTTGGCTGAATGTTACTACACCCATAGCCATTAAAAATGTTTCGTATGTTTTCCCAACCGCTAAAATTAAAAGTCCTTTTTAAAGTAAATATATTATACAAAGGTGTCCGTTGAAATCTAATGACTGTAAATTAAATTATAAATTACGCCCAGAATTACCGTGTATGTCAATATTTTTTGTGCATTTGGGCCAATTTGAGCAATCTCCTTTTTGGCGCGAATGATTATGACGGAAACAGTGTCGACACGACAGATGTGCACCGTGCTCATTACCAACACCCAATGCCGTGTGTTAGGCATTGTCCTAATACAACGCGATAACGCGAATGAGCAATGCGACCATCGTACGAGTCGACGATCAAACATATTGATCTAGAATAGGTGTCCTTATAGGCGATCGGGCGATGCAGTCGCGCGACTAAAATGTTTAAAAATCTATTCGCACGAACTTGGTTCGCGCGAACGCGCAATCAAACCTATTAATGATGAATAGGTGTCCTAACTAAAGTTCGCGCGATGATCGCGTCGCGTCGATAGGAAGCGGGGAGAGGGGCAGGGCTAACCCGTTCCGTATTCGCGTTCTATTAGGACACCCAGTTCGCGATCACGCGATGGTCGCATCGTTTAAACGCGCGATGATCGCGTTATCGCGTTGTATTAGGACAATGCCTTATGCATCTAATAGCGATTCAGATAAGATTTTCAAAAATATATTATGCAAATTAAAGAATAACTAGACGTTACTGGGTGCATAAAAAAATGAAAAGAGAAATACTTTTGCTGAATATCATGCTCTATATCCAAACTTGGTTGGATATGATGAGAGATATCATATTTACGGGTAACTAAAACCAATTTCAAGAAATACAAAAATAAAATAAAAACACTGAAACGACGGACACGTGGCGTCGGGTGTTATCAGAAAACACGAGCGCCTAGTGTGACTCTGATCAAAAAAAATAGTAGATTTGATATGACGTGACACGTCGCGTTTCACGAGTCCGTTTCCGCCTTTAATCATTGAAATTAAGAATAAGTACACCTGTCGTCTCAGTGCTGTCACCTGGGGAAAGTCATTCTAGAAAACCCTCATTGATCATCTTTCATATTGTATTATAATAAATTGAATCCAATTTATGATAACTAAAAATAGCAGTCATATATATTTTTTGTACATAATATTCATATAATGTGATCAATACTTTTACTAGTTATCTTTCAACAAGCAACTAAAAAATGGGCTATTGTGAATACAAGCATAGCTTAAGTTTTCAATGTTATAAGTATTGCAGATGAGTAATAATAAAAGTGCAAAGAATACCCACAAATATGATGTCAATGCCATAATGGTATTACATAAACCATCGTGTACAAAATTTTTGTTGTGGATATGCTTATCCACAACAAAAAGAATATGATATGACATAATATTACTGTTTGATTAAAAAACTTACGCTCTTATATATCCTGTTAAAACCACCAAATCGGGTAGCACAGTTTCCAATGTTTCGTCATCTTCAATCTTCTGGAGGTGTTCCGCTAGATGGCGCCAGTACCAAGCGGTCTCTTTGTTAAGCTTCTCGGCGGGAATTAACCGTAAGTTCTTCTCTGACGGTAACCATTCCAGCAATTCAGATATTGGGAGACGCCTGTAGGTTACATTTTAAATTGCAAAATTGTCTGGATAATGGTGACGATTCTGGCATGCATGATTCTCTCAACCTAAAATTAAATTTGACAACAGTGTATCCTTTTCATTCTCTATACAGAATGAAAAGAAAAGACTAATGTTAAATTTAGTTTTAAGTTTAGAGAATCATACCAGAATCGACACCATTGTAATACTTGCAAGTGCTCGCGACTTTTAACCTTCAATCACTATTTCACAAAGTTTTATTTTGGCAACACTGATCAGCAAATGGAGAAGTACTCCATGGTCCGTCTTTATCTCCTCTGTATCAAAATTTACGAAAATCGGTCGAGAGAGTAGGGGTATTAGAATGAATGATTAATTTTATGGTGATTTTCGTAATAATTGCACATGTCATTTAAATACACCCTGCAAAGAATAAGATAGTACACAAGTGAATGCAAAATTGTAGCAGTGTTAATTTAAGACTTAAAACTGCACACATAAGTGGGACACTCAGAATGTTTTGAGAAACTAAAAAACTAACTTCTATGAAAAAAATATTTTTTTAAAATCTTTTCAAAAAGCTCTCCACCAGCCTCTATACAGAGTTTCATGCGTCTGAAGCAATTTTCAAAACCTTATTTTCAGTCCTCCGCAGACACCTTTTCCACGGCCTTCTCAAACAGTGCTAGCTCTTCTTAACTTTTTTTCGCAAAACTTTCTGGGTGGCCTGGTAAGGTTCACAATGTTTAATAATTTAATTAGTGTACAGGGTAACTGATGTAGTTTACTCTTTTAGGGAAAATTGATTTTGTGTACCACTTGCTTGCGAAAATATTTTATACCTTCATGTTAAAAATACTGAAGTCTTACTTAAAAAGCGACTCCAGCAATTTTCCAGCGACGTATTGGGAGTCCTTCGCATCATGCGCATTGTCCAATCGGATGGCTTTGAGCAAGTCAACTATGTTCCCTTGGAAGGTGCTGAGCCATCCGGGGACGAGGATCTCTTCCACGACGCGACGCACGCGAGTACTGCGTTCCGTAAGACCAACCTACGTTAACAAATAGCTATTTTCAACATACTTTCTCAAAAAATGCATTTACGGAGGTTGTATATATTTTTTCGAAAGTTCAAAATTTTGAGTCATCCACCGGAGCGTGCGGTAAATTGTTTTACCGCACGCTCCGGTGGATACCATGGCACCGTGCGTATTCTTTACGGTTATGTCGAATCTCACTAATCTAAACGGCGCGGCGGGTTAGAGAGAGGAGGAGTATCTACATCAGAGAGTTGTAAAACTAGATGAGCACAGGAGATTGAGAGGTGAAAAGGGGATTGGATCGTGTTAAGGAGATTCGAGGGTGAAAGGGATTCGAGGGTGAGTAGGAGATTGTTGGGTGGTAATAACGGATTGGTGAGTGATAGTGGGGATTGATGGGTGATAAAGGGGGATTGGTAGATATAGTTACTGTTTGGTTAATGCAAAGAAATGGTGCGGCTTAGTAGCCAAGGAAGTACTAGTAGAAATTCGATCCGGCTATTAGGGTCTCGGTAGCATATTAAAATTCGTATGTTAAAACTGTAATAGCTTCGAGTCCTGTCAGATATCTGGACTGTCTGGAATTTATTCTAGTAAAAATTGTCTTTTAATAGCTTCTATATTTTTTACACTTATGTACGATACGATTCTCACTTAGCGCAGCCGGTCGGCTTCATATCTGTTTGAATTGCATGCAAATATGAAACTTCTACTGATAAATTCACATATCAATTTCCTTCAGCAAATTGTAATATTCGCTACGCTGAGCTCCAACGCGCGCCGCTAAGTTAGAATCGCACATTACAGTAACCTTTATGTAGTATAAAACAGATTATCATGTAGTTAGCATCACCCAGTAGTTATACGATATTTAATGAAATGTTTATAATTATGTACACAAATACAAGCCTGTGAAAGATAACTTTAGTCTGCTAGACCAAAGCATGCAGATTGCTAGTAAACTAAAATAGTTTTTAGCAAAGTACAGGTTACAGCTTTTTAATAAAATTAAGTATTTTTTTAAGTTAGTGTCATAGACACATATCAGATATCACATATAAGAGCACCCGCATTTGTCAAGCTTATGCAACAATACTACATAAACACACGCTCCGAAACGTCTACAGACATTTGTTAAAACTAAACAAATTTATCATCATATATTGAAGTCACACTGTTTTGTCAAATAAAAAAAAACACGATTTTCCCTTTCTGCATTCCTAACTTGGGCCATTATTTGATTTCAAACAAAAATTTAGTTTTTTTCAAGGCTCTAAGTGAGAGTGCTCTGTGAGACTGACATTAAACAATTCCAATAAGATTACAAAAAGAATTATAACTTACCTTAAGAGTGAGAACTCTCTGTCTGACTCTTAATTGTGTAACATTCACACCAGCTATATAGAGGAATGCTGCTCGTCTCACAGCTTCATCTACGTCGCAAAGGCGTTCCAACACATATGGCACGTTACGGGTGCATTTTGCTATTGACATTACAACGGCTCTGGGAACAATAACAAAATCACAATGTCTAAGGCCCTCATACCGTAAATTTAATTAATGTTGATTCAACTAAAACTGAAACCCATAGAAAAATGACAAATCGTCGATATGAATTTGACATTATTGTATGGACTAGGTCTAGTTTTATTTGAATATAGAGTTAGCAAATTTCCTGCAAGTAAACCTAAGGCGATAAAATTACAGGAGAAAAGCTTTTCAATTAAAACTCACAAGATTGGAAACAGTTTTAGTAGTTTTTAAAAAGTTAATTACAATTAATAAATAAAGAGACGTAGTTCTCTAAACTTAAAACTAAATTTAACATCAGTCTCTCCTTCTCATTCTGTACAGAAAATGACAAGGATATACTGTTGTCTAATTTAAATTTAGGCTTAAAGCATGCCAGAATCGACACCATTGTCATCAACAATGCTAAACATGTAACATGAATCAATTAGCACCCAACAAGATGTAATATGTTTTGCACATGTGTAGCAATAGAAAAGGTGCTGCACTTGTCTTCACTAGGCAATACAATAACCAATGATAAATAATTCAGATATTTTTTAATACCTCCTCACAGATGAACTTGGATCACAGCTCATATGGAATCGGTAAGCTCTTGTTACTTCGTCATCAGGTTCCATTGGGTTCTGCAACCGCTGCAGAGCTAATGCGGCACGACACCGAACTGCACCTCTAGTATCTTGTAAACGCTGCATCTGTGTTGAAAAACATAACATATTTCTGTAAACATATATTGTGATAAACAGTTTTTTTTTAATTTAACAATTAATTTAACATTTAATTTTGCAATAAAAATATTAAATTGAGTTATTTTACTAGGTAATAATTTCCTGTTTGCTTAGTTAGATGCTAAATTTAATATATTTTCTCAGAAATTTGATTTTAAAGCTACTTTTCTTCTTGTAAGTATTTTAATAAGTTAGCAGGAAACTTCTTGATCACAGACAAATACAGTTTCACAGTTGACGTTTTTGTACTACTACTGGGCAGGCTTTCTTATTGCTCAAAAAGTTTGCCGGGGTGTATACCAACAGCTAAGATGAAATACTTACTTGAGATGCAAGAAGCTTATCACAAAGATCATCATCTAATGATGCATCTTCCCCCAAGGCTGATAGAACAGCTGCCAGCAGCTGACTAGCTCTATACCTCACAGATTGTCCGGAAACACACTGGCACTTAATGAATAAAAAGAAAGATTTATTAATAGTGATGCAATAACATGTCTATTATGATACCAATGCAAATGACAAATACATGTTTATTGCATCAGAACTTGTGTCGATTCTGGAATGATTCGCTAAACTTAAAACTAAATTGACCATCAGTCTCTCCCTTTAATTCTGTATAGAGAATGAAAAGGATATACTGTTGTCAAATTTAAGTTTAGGTATAGAGAATTGTGCCAGAATCGACACCATGCATGCCATTTAAAATGGATAAATAGGCTTAAGTATAATGTTTTGAAAGACCAACCTATCTGATGTAACCAATATACTCTATTTAAAGAAAATAAATTGTTTCATTTCATTACATTATAACAGGATTATTGCCTTTTCTTAGGTCACAGGTTTTATTATTGTACATTGTGCTTCCATATATAATTAATGTCTGCGAGTCCAAGAAATTTCATTGGATAATTTAAGGTACTACATTTATTAATAATAACCATTTATTTCAGGCATACTACCCATATTACATACAGAAATAGAAAAAAAAAAAAAAATGACAATCAAATTAAATAATTACAATCACAATAATAATAATTCAAATATAAATTTCAAATAATTACAATTCATTTAAATTACATCATAATCCAATAATCCAATTATCAATCAAATAAAATAAAATAAAATCAAAAACAAATAATAATTGAGTCCAATAAAATAAAATCGATTACAGCAGGCAAGAATGTCGAGCTAACATATTACTTTTGGCGGCAATGGATCTCCTTTGTCTTTCTATGTCATCGTCATCATTTAAGTTACTTCTTATAATATGTCCCAGGTATTTAAATTGTGATACAATTTTTAGCTGTGATCCCGCCAGAGATACAACAGGGTTAAACATATAAATAGATAAGTTACACTAGACTGAGTCTAACTTGCCTTAAATGTGAAATAAAAGGTACCAGGATCGGCTGACCCAAAATGTTGCAGAATCTTACCTCAAAGATGATATTACAGATGAACATCAAAAATTCCTCTTCATCATCAAGAGAAGTGGAAAATGTAGCCACAAATTGTATTACTCTATCAACATTAGCACTCGTATCGCCAAATGTAAACAGATAATGCAAAGCATTTTTGAAACTTTCATGAAATGCATCCTCATCTATCTGAAATGATTCAAGGTTAGTTTTAGGTAAATCATCTACTTCCAAGCTCCAATTTATCAAAACAGAACAGTTTTATTTAAGAAATATTTGAGAAGATTGTTCATAACTGGCACAAATAGTGCAAAGTAATATCACTTACCTTTTTATACAACTTTATCATTTCCTTTACATATTTCTTATGTTGCACGACATTGTATTGAACATTCTGAAATATCTTGAACATCGTTGGATTATTTCGAGGATTTGGTTTCACTGTCACTATTTGCGGAGTATCTGCATCTTTTGGCGGCATATTAACTGTTTTAAACAATCTGATTTTCAATCAAGTCAGTATAGTGAAGTAAAGTTATTTAATTAATTAATTTACGATTATTTAAATTAAATAAACCTATGAATATATATATGCGGGCACAATGTTGTTTAATTGCGGGTTGTCTGTGAGCGCTGTGCTATATTTGATGTATTTTGACTCTCAAATTAACAGTTGTAATCCTTTTGTTGTTCACCAAATAGTTCAAAACTAGGAATCCAAAGAAATACACAACAAATACTGTCCGTTGTTTTGAAATATTTATTTCTTTTTGCAATTATCCTAAAATGTGGGAAGGCAAAGGGTAAAGAAGTTCATTCGGTCTTAATGAGACCAAAAAGCCATTTCGCCTTCCCCCCAAAATTTTTAAAGCAAAATCCCCCCGACATACAAAATATTCATAAAAAAATACAATATTTACTACAAAATATGTATTTCTGCAATACGATCATTCTAATCTAGCGAAACAAAAACAAATTAACGACAATAGTGTAAATTTTATACCAAAGTAATTATTTTTATCGGGTCGGAAACATTATTCTATAATCAACCATTTATCCAAAAAAAGCCGAAAACTAAAAAAATCTCATACTCAGAAATAATCAATATTTCCACAGAAGTGACCAGATTAATAAAAAAACCTAATTAGAATCAGTATTTTCTCGTCTTGGTAACGTAAATGAAAAAACAACATATTTCTTAATCAAAATAAACAATATTTTTAGGGAAATACTTAAACTTTAAACACAAAAAATCTACTAAAATGTACACAGAAATGTCTATCATTATTTATTTTAATTTAGTTATTACAGGTGAATGGTACTAACTTAGACCACTAAACCACAATGTTCTAAGGGTACTAATGATTTAATGGCATAAAGCAACTTATAAAACTTTTTTTATACAGGTATTACTAAAACCCTGTGTTTGATTTTAGGTTTAAGAAGATTGTATGATGTTTAGGTATATACATGAATAACTGGTATTGTAGATGATCTGTCATTGATCTATAAAATGACTGACATTCTAATTGGTGGAGAATAGTCTTCACTATCATCATTTCTGTTAGCTGTAAACGGTGTAACTGGATACATAATACAATTTGCTGTACATATTATGGGAGTTATATCACAATCATCAGTACTATAATTAAGGGGTGGATAGTTCCTGCTTTTTTTTCGACATTAATAACTGATTAATAACTGACTAAGGCTGTAATGTTTACAGATTGTATCGGGAGAATATAACCAACAGCTAAGCCTATTTGCATTTAAAAAGGATGGATTGTGGTATCTTTAGATGCTTACGAACCACTTAGCTTCAGTAGATTTTGTATATTGACAATTTGTCAATCATTTATTAAAAAAATATTTATATATATCCATTATTCTTTTAAACAATTAAGTAAAGACTCAAAATCCGAATCGTATTTTTCAAGAGGTACACCTTAATCTGCTGATCACAACACACTCGTCTACCCCATCAGGCGCACCTATCCCATGGCCAGCTTCACTATAATTCTAAATTACATTCTCAACATTTATTTTAAGCGTAATAAAGTATGCAATGAGAAAAAAAGATTTATTTCGATACTATGTCACCGGTCCATCGCAAAAAAACTAAAGAGAATTTGTATGCATTTACATACAAATTCTCTTTAGTTTTTTTCCTATGATGAGATTTAATAAAAATAAAATCATTTGAATATCATAGTTAAGTCAAGATTGAATACCTCAAACATAGAATACTTAAAAACCTTTATGTTTCAAACAGCACCATAAATGTACATATATACCATTATGTATATTACTTTATTATATAATTAGTACAGAAATGACGGTACACAGAAATGATGAATGTAAAAGTTGTACGTGATAGCACAGCGGCAAAAATTTAAGGATAATATGTTTTCACATCGTATTCACAACATTGGATATTTTTTTTTGAAAAACAAAAGTGATTACCCATAAACTGGCAACTTTTTTTTTGTATTACTTACTAACCTAGTAACATTCCAACAAGAAATGACGCTTGAACTTTTTCTAGACCGGAATTCCACCTCTGAATAAGGAATCATATGGATATGATATGATCCTTATTCAGAGAATTCTACGCATTCATTTGCTTTTTTTTACTCAGTGAGTGAACAACAACATACACAAAAGTCTTCTTCTTCTTCTATTATTATGGCATGACGGCTAATGTTGCCATTCGCCATATAAACAAAAGTCATTTGATAAATCGGAAAGATTCAGTGTTGCTGTATTAGAAAAATCTTTAACTCACAAGAATGAATTACCACATTTTTTTGCAAAAACGTATATTAACACAGAAATTACGACTAAACTCGAAACAATTTCTACTTATGTTTTACTGGAAAATTTATTATATTGATATTTTTTTAAACGCGGTTTAAATTAATACATGTTTCTCCAAAAACTAATCAAATAGCATTTGTTTTAAAAAGGTAGTAAACCATAACATGTATAAAGCAACATACACAGAACATGACGAAACAGCAACTTTTTATGTTTTTTCTCCTTCAGATGTATTTTTTTAAGTATTTGATTTTGCAGACATGTACTTGAATATGTAATCTTTATAAATAAATTAAATATTTATTAACTTTAAATTTTATATGTAACTCGTGGTCGCCCGTGACTTCCTCTGCGTTAACTTAGTTTCTTGAAAATCCCTCTGGAATCTAACATTTTTTCAGGATAGAAGTAGCCTATGTGTTAATCTAGGGTGTCAGCTAACTCCACACCAAATTTTATTAAAATCGCTCCAGCCATTTAGACGTGAAAAAGTAACAAACATACACACTCACATACTGACACACTCACAAACTTTCGCCTTTATAATATTAGTGTGGACTATGTGTTAATCTAGGGTGTCAGCTAACTCCACACCATTAAAATGGCTCCAGTCGTTTAGACTTGAAGAAGTAACAAACATACACACTCACATACTCATACACTCACAAACTTTCGCCTTTATAATATTAGTGTGATTCTAACAAGTGACACTTTTTTACTCATAAATTAAAATGACCCAATAGAATTCATTAGGATCTACATCTTCGCACTCGTCTTTCCCACTAGTTTATAAATCTTGTTACATTACTTTGTTTTAATAATGCTATTATCTTACCAAGGCGCAAACAATTAAAAGGACAAATTGACTAATTACGATTTAACAGAGCTAAGGTAACGGTAACCATTAACGACTGACTTGACATGGACTCGACTAACTGAGCGACTGAGCTAGCTAGACGGAATGGACTGAAGAAAGTCTTTTTTAAGTGGGTTTTGGACTTAGGGCTCCCAATGAACCTCACTAAATGAACATAGCTCAGTGGGCCCGATTCTGCCATGATTCTCAAAGCCTATTATAATAAAATTTGACAACAGTCTAGATCCTTTTTATGCTCTATAGGTACCAAATGAGAATAAGATTGTTGATTTACTGTTGATTGCGACTTTTTACAGATCAAAAGTTTATGAAGTGGCATTATTTTTTATAAAAAATGTAATTATAAACCTAAATTTCTTCACCCCATTAATCCCTCAAAAAATATTTTCCCTCCAATTATATCCCCATCGCTTTAAAAATCCCCCAAATTCGGGGGGAATCTCCCCAATTTGGCATTAGTGTTCGGCTTAGTTTTATTTTTTTATTATCCTTCAGCAAAGCAAAGAAAACTAAGTACCTACAGCCATGAGTGGATACAGGAGTGGGTGGGTCGCCGGCGCGGCGGCCTCTCGTTCCGCATGGTGCAGGTACTGACCGGGCACGGATGCTTCGGTCACTACCTGTACCGTATCGCCCGTCGGGAGGAAACGCCGCAGTGTCATCACTGCGGCGCCCCGGACGATACGGCCGAGCACACCTTGCTGGAGTGTTCGGCCTGGTGGCAGCAGCGCCGCGACCTGATTGCGGCGCTGGGAGGTGGAACCCTCACGCTGCGGAGCATGGTAGAGGTCATGCTCCGTAGCGAGTCGGCATGGGAGGCGGCTGCCTCCTTCTGCGAGAACGGTATCTCGCAGAAGGAGGCAGCCGAGAGGGAGCGGGAGGATGCTCCCCTGGCAGCGAAAAAGAGCGGGCAGGAGAGGAAGAGTGCGTGCCCTGGCTACGCCCGTCCCATGACCCTGCCCGCGGGGATTCCTGCCGTGCCGGCCACCGAGGGATCCCGTGACGGCAGCCCCCATCATGTAGTTCTGTCCTGAAAAGAGGGGGGCGGCGGAGGGAGCTACACGGGCACGCTCAAGTAGTCCTCCGCAGCGGAGGGGGCTGCCCCCCCGGTGGGCACTAGGCCGCGTTTTCAGCCCCCACGCGCGGGCCATCCTGCGCATGTCTGCGGGGTCCCCGCAAAACCTCGGGAGACCCCTGCCGAGGAGCCCCGGCTAGGCCGGGAGGCTGCTGGGTGCGGAGACGCGGAAGAATCCCTAAACGGGGATCCCGCAGTTTCGCACTAAGCAGCTTAGAGGGTATTCTCAGGGTTTTTAGCGGATATAATGCCGTAAAGCGCCCGTAAGAGTTACGGGGTCCTCAGTGGGCAGCCACTGTGGGGGCTCGTAAGGTTTGCGGGAGCCAGGTGTGAGGTCCGTTCGGCGGTGTGCCTCTTAAAGGTGCCGTCGTCTGTAAACAGTTTTTGCCTACGTCACAAAAAAAAGGATGTGTGTATGTGTGTGTTCCTGTATGAATTAAGAAAACGTAAAATAAACTATATTTATTTTACGTGTTGTGTTGTGACGCGATCGGTTTCATACATTTAGTACGGTTGGAACTACATTTTTGTGTGTCGCGATGTGTCGACAGCGTTCTCACACTAAACATACTAAATGTATGAAATACATAGCTCTCTGATGTATTCTTATTCTTATGATATTTTTATTAAGAATAAAATCCCTAAATTTCGGGATAGCATAAATAATCGAATGTATATTTATATAAAATTAAATTTAAATTTCGCATTCGAGTATGGAGTATGTAAAATTTAAGAGAAATAGTGGTGTAGTTAATATGAAAATTTAAATAATTACAAATTTATTTATTCATTATGGTCATCTTACACAATATTTAATGTTATACACACAGGGCAAACTGTAATTTGTGTCAATCTAAGTTTATTCAATCTCATGAAATATATGTACACTTAAATGTGAAGTTCCCGGAATCGCGGGATTTTCGATATATTTATAAATGCTTTCAATAATAGCCGAGATCTCAACTTTAGGTAAATACAATAATGAGTACGATTATCCGATCTCAACTTATTATGGGTCACATGCACTCTACTCTAAGGTCTAAATGTTTTGTGTCACCAAACTCGATAAACTTCTATTATGTACGTAATCAACAGAAGCACAATAAGATTATAGTGCTTCCGCTATAGATTGAAACCAACCCACTAAAACTCCGGGATGTGGCCTCTCCTTGCCGGTGACGACGACGTGGGCTCCTTGTTGGAAATCAACCACGCCGTCCCGGATCGCTCCCCCGCCTGGGAAGAAACGAAAAAAAAACCCATCTCGTGCGTACGACTTGAAAGGGTATTGAAAATGAATCTATCTATAATCTCTAATAATAATCTAATAAATCTAAGATTATTCAAAAAAAATAAAAGAAAAATTGTAAAAAAAATTTAAGAACCAAAAAAATTATTTTTTTCACATCCAATTTTTCCAAAATATTTTTACATCATCTTAATCCCTTCGAATTTTTCGTCTTTGAGCTCCCATACGTCCTCGTTCCGCACTAGAGCCGCCTGCCGTGCTATACAAAATTATCCCTTACACACGTTGCCTACCCTGTCCAAATTCCTTACCAAGTGGAGCTCGGGAACTTATTTACTCACCGACAGAAACACAACAAACTAAAAGGTAGCTTTATTTTACTGTGATCTTAGTAGTAGTAGTAGTCTCCATAAGGTGGAGGTTATCCCACCATATGGACGCTCCAATTCGGCAAGAAATCCGCTACTTTTCGCTTATCTGTCATATAACTATATGCATATTTATTGCCAACATTGGAAAAACCCTAGCTTAAAAAATGCAGTAGAAGCGGCTCCACAATGTCAGTCTAGTGATGTCCGTAGAACCTCTCTAAAGTAGTTTGTACTATTGGAAACTGATAATAATGAAATAGAATCATTAATAAGGAATTTGAAGAGTGATTGGTTGGATTTGATTCCTGCAAATATTTTAAAAACATATAGTGGAATTGTAATTCCGCTAATAATACATCTAAGTAACTTAGCTGTATCAAACGGTTCTTTCCTCCTTGTTTTTGGCTAACATAAATGACCTGTGTCAAATTTATCTATCACATGGGAAAATTGTAACTTTTGCTGATGACACAGCTTTACTTTTTAGTGGTGAATCCTGGGACGAGGTATACGCGAATGCCCAAAATGGATTTAATATAGTAGCATGATGGTTAAACAATAATAATATCCTAATACTTAAATATATAGCATTCTCATGATAAATCCTTAGATTCACAATGTGATTTAATTTACCATAATTGTGGTAATTTTACAGGCAGTGATTGCAACTGTACTCGTGTCCAAAGAACTGAGGCTATAAAATATTTAGGTGTTATAAAGATAACACAAAGGACCAAAAACTTAACTCCGAAAAGCATATAGATATGATCACACCAAGACTACATAAACTAATCATAATATTTCAATCATTAAGGCATGTCGCTGAAGAGAATTACTATCCTGCTGCATCACTAACTGGGAAGGTGTTCCAAAAACACTCTTATAAAATTGGAAAGAGCTCAGAGAGTCATACTAAAAGCAGGTTATTCTTTGCCTTAGCAGCTTGTAACAAAGTAATAAAAGACTGCATTCAGGCATTAAGCTATGTCGACAAAGAAAATCTGCATAGCAATCTAAAATAAATTGTGATAAGAAACCAAAATTTTGCTTATAATAAAAATAATTAATAATCATGCATCATCATCATCATCATCATCATCATGGTTAGTCGACGTCACAGGAGACCGAAGAGCTGGCAGCTACCTCGGACAAAGAATTAGTCTAGCCATTCAAAGAGGTAACGCTGCCAGTATCTTCGGTTCCTTGCCTAAAGGGACTCCTTTTAATAATATATTTTAGTTATTAATTTTAGTTTTAGTTTTATTATTCTAGTATTTATATTTTACTTATATATAGTAATTATGTAATTAGATAGAGACTTATTGGTTTATAGTTAGTGTATTTTATAGTTTTATGATGTGAAATTGTTAATGTTAGTTGTATTTTATTGTTAAATCTTCTTAAGTTATATGCCGAATTATTAATCTTATGCTTTAAATAATCTCAATGTCAAACAATATAATTATCATGCATTTATAAACGATTCAGTTTTTTTTTCTCTTACCCTTACAATTTCTTGTAAGTACTTATTGAAGTTATACTTCTTTAGCCGCGTTATGAAAAAAATATGAGAGTGACATTTTAAGATGCGCGTAACTGTAACACAAAAGTAACATAATGAAGTTAGCCGCGGGCGCGTTATGAAAAAATCATGTGAGTGAAATTTCGAGATGCGCGCGCATTACTGTAACACAATAGTAACACCATGAAGTTAGCCGCGGGCGCGTTATGAATGTTAGTTCGAAAGGTACTTTGAACGATCCACGGAGCTCCTTAAGATGATCGCGTTGTCAAAAACAATGTTGGCACGCTCGTCGCCTCTGATCACTGTTTTCATATTTATAATATTTATCCACATGTTTCTAGTTTCTATATAGACACAACGTGTTTTAGTTACTTACAAGTGCTAATTACATATGGACTAATAACTTAAATTCAGTAGTGATTTTAATTGAATATTTTGAATATTTATTTAATTTTTCAAATTAAAACCGAACTTAATTGACTGTGTTAACTATCCTTTTCCAGTCCTTTTATTATTTTATTGTAATTATTAATTATTTGCATGCAATTAAAAAATATTGTTAATGATGCTAAAGAAGTATTACTTCTCACGCGCGTACATAAGTTACACGCATCCATTTTTTTACCATGAATAAATATTATGTAATTCAGGATCATTATGGTTATGAAGAACAATGTAGGTATAGATTCTTTTCCAGGAGAGACCTGGTGATCGGTAGTACAGGTTCACGCCTATTTCGGGCACCAGCTTCTTACAACGCCTAATAATATTATCTAAGCGCTGTTTAACCTGTATCGTGTTAATTTGGTGTAAGAAGAAATAAAAATTTATTACTTATTACTTCGATCGAATTTATTAAATTATAAATGAATTAATAATAAATATATATTTGTTATATTTTTTTTTATTTATTTATTAATTAATTTATTAATTTATTTCTATTGTTCATCGAAGTAAGTACCTACTATATGAGGCCCTGCGTCAGGGCTGTGTGACTGTGAAGCGGACAACCGCTCGGTTTCATACAAAATTGTAAGGTCACGGAGACACGCGCGGGCCATTTTATATGAGAACGCGCAGGCGGACGGACAGATAGTAAGTTCCCTGTTGACTTGGTATTCAGAACTCTAACAAGGGACAATCGCAGGTTATCACGTAAAAGCAAAATGTAATTTTTAGCTTTTTATGAAAGGTTAGCACACACATCACTGCAACTTGAATAAAGTTGTTTTTTTATAAATGTATTCTAATCAAAGGGTACATTTTAGAAAAAATAAACATTAATTTCAGTGTAAGTTTATTGTGCTGAATATTAATAGCATAATTAAAATTAAGTGTATATTTATAGTCAAACTTAAATTATTATTATGTACAAATCACATGATTAAAAAGTATGTTATTTTTAAAAATGATTAGGTATCTGAGTACCTATTTACTAATTTTTAAGTAATTTTAGAAATTTTAGGGTACATAGATGACAAGAATCGATACCTATAATAAAAATGCAGTTGTTTTTGTCAATTATAATTTCATATCAGAGATATCTGAATATAATAACCGAACAAAAGAAACTTATTGTTTTGAAGTTCAAGAAACCACAACCTTTTTAGTAATAAGTATAAACTAAAGCACAGCTTAAGACAACTGAAGTTATAGCATGAAGTGGTTGATAATGAAATAAGATATATTTAAATAATTATCAAAGAAAAGGAACTTTATGTTCCTTGGACAAAGAACGTATCATGTGCATTTTATAAAGCAGTCGTTTTTATGATAACAATAAATAAAACGTGTTTAAATTACATAATTTTACGAGAGCAGTAAATTTACTCATAACGCAATGAGATTTGATAGAACTAATTAAAAGCTAAGGCTTAATTGCACCAGAGTTCTTAATTTAAATTTAAAAGCTAATCGTGTTTGAGCCTTATTCTATCTCTATTTGATTTTAAACAATTGAAAAAGACTGAATGAGGTGTTAAACACGGTTAAGCCTTAATTTAGAATTAATAACTTTAGCTAGACAGCGGGTGAAGCGGGGCGGCAACGCGACGCTGCTGCCACGACGACATCTGCGCGGCCAGCGTGTCGGGCTGTATGACGTATTTCCTAAAAACTGATACAGTACAATTATTTATATCGCGCCAGCGCGTCGCGTTGCCGTTTGGCCCGCCCGTTGGCGTTGTTTCAATGAACCTTAAGTATATTTTAATTACTCCAAATCGTCTATGAGAGAGTCCAGCTCTTTCTGTAGTGCGACGGATTCTTCTCTCTGCTTGAGCACATCGTCTTTGAGGCGATCGACGTTGGCCATCAGGAGAGTGTTGCCTTTCTTCAAGGCGTTGACTCGTGTCTCGTGTCGCTTGAGGCGTTTCGATAGATTGTCTTTCTTCTTCGGTAATGGTGCATCCTGCAGGTATATTAATAAATTGAGGGTTAGTAAGTGTATTTAAGTGATTAACATTTTATAAATAGGTAACTGTGCCAGGGTCGAATTTAGAGGTGTAAGGACCCTGTGGCAACGAAGGAGTGGGGGCCCCTAAAGCTGGACCGGATCACTTATGATTGCTATCGAACAATTTTTTTTCTGTTGTGGGGGCTACAAGCCCCTCTGCCCTGCCCTAAATCCGGACCTGGTGCGAGCAAATGATTCCACTCAATGTTAAGTGGTGGTGATTTCTAGATGCGGAAATACTAAGTAAATAGTTGGAGACAATACATGCACGGGAAAATCCATTTTCTACAAGTGCGATAAAAAATAGGTCATCAGTTTTTTGTTACGAAATTTAAATGGAAATTAAGATTTTACGATTTTATTAAAATAGTAAGTTCATTATTCATGGAATCAATAGTAACAGCATTATGTGGCATAAAAGTATTTAAATATAATTCATACCTCTGGTTCACTTTCACTTTCAGTTTCACTCTCGGTGTCTTGCTCTGTTTCCGTTTCAGATTCCTCTTCCTCTGTCTCGCTCTTCTTCTCTTCTTCCTCCTCAGATTCCTCATCTTCTTCATCCTCATCTGAACCAGCTTCTTTCATCATCTGTGCCATTTTGTCTACTTCATGTTTCAACTCCTTGTACTTCCTTTTCTCGTCTCTAAAATTTTTTAAAGAGTTATTATATCGCCGGGATATCCTAATGCAATGTAAAAAGACAATGTGTATCAGCTAAATCAATGATATTCACAAAATGTTAGCGAGAAAATGAATAGAGCTAGGTTTTAACGAAATATACTTACATACTAACCTATAAAATTGACAACATATCAAAAATATTAGTCAGTCAGTATAGGAAAGTGCAAGCTGAAGAAATTTAATCGACATGCTGGTGAAGGCAAGTGGCCTTCATTGATGGCTGAATGTAATAAACGAATGAAAGACGGTGATAATGCCGATCTACATATTTATTTCTTGAATATCTAGACTAGGACAGGAACGAAACATCTAGTAAATAGATTCAAATTAAATTATTAGTATGAAGATTTGAGAGAAGTCAGACTTTCCCAAATAGCATGCCTAGATTTATAAACAAGCTTCAAAAGTACAATAGAACTGAAAAAGAAAACTGACTTGAGTGCTGCTTGCTGATTCTTTAAAGACATCTTGAATGCCATTCGCTCTTTCTTCATGTTGTCTTGTTTTTCCTTGAGGTGTCTTATTTTATTTCTCATGTTCCTAATCTCCTTTTCCATTCGTTTTTGCTTTTTCTCTTCGCTTTCCTCCTGAAAATTTAAGTTGATAATGAAAAAATCTCGTAAAAAGCTTTTTATATCATATAAATTGTGTAATGACGTTATAAGTTAGTAGTAAAAGTAAAAAAAATTCACATTCGCATTTAAATAAAAGCTTGTTTTAAAAAAAGTCTTTTTTATTTTAATTTAGTTTCTATTTGTCGCTGGACATATTCAAGGACTCCAAAAACCCCATATTCTCAACAAGCCCTTTCTTTTGATACCCATATTGTAGGACTGCAATTAAAATAACTAGTATGCCATCGTGTTTGTTCCGCCATATTGAATTTAGAATGACACACACTATGCATTGTCATCCAAGCTAAACGTGTGTACAGAATTTCAGATCAAACGAATGAAAACATCTACTTCAAAGTTGAGTTTCATGATTCCACCCGAACAAACATACTTACATACATTGCAAGTTAAATAAAAGTTTTTAATTAAAAAAAACTGGCTGGTTCTATGATTTTTGAATAATTTCGTGACAAATACCAAATGTATAAAACAAATACAAAACACATTTTTTAGGCAGTCATGTAAAAAATAAATTATGCCTTTTAATAAAATAATTTATTACCCCTTCCTCTTCAGACTCTTCTTCTTCCTCAAAACTGTCATCTTTAGTAACTGATAATTGTCTGATAGCGTGGCTCGATCTCCTTGAGCCCATATTGGTAGGCAGGATTCCCTGAAACCGATTTATAGGACCATGATGAAACAAGAAAAATTACAAAAGATGTGCTTATTGACGTAATTACAAAACACTCTTCTAATAAATTATAGTTGATTTCATCATTCTAGGTTCACCGGTTGTTCTCGATGTTGATGAGTGAGTCAGTCAGATTCTGTCTTTATATAATAGTATAGATTAAAGTCACAAATATACATACACAAAATAATTGATGCTTTAAAAATCATTGGATTCAGAAAATCATGGGATTAATAAAACTTAAAACAATACTTTCTTTTATGTTAACGATCGGATGATTCATGTGGTAAAACGAATTTGTGAAAAAGACGTCTTCAGCCTATTCATAATCATCATTATTATCATCATCAGCCTATTAATGACCCCACTGCTGGGGCACGGGCCTTCCCTATGGATGGAATAGGGAGATTGGGCCATGATCCACCACGAGCGACCAGTGCGGATTGACGGGTACTAACGACTGCAGGTGCAGACCAATGGCTTAATTTGCCTTCCGAAGCACGGAGGATCTCGAGAAAGAAGATTTTTGGTCACCCATACAATGACGTCCCACTGCAAAAGTTGCTTAACTTCAACGATCGCAGCCGAACGCATTGTACTACGCCATCGAACTCCTCGAACGATCGGATGATTCTTTACATGGTAAAAATGAATTTGTGAAAAAGTCGTCTGCAGTCTATTCAATATCTGTAAAATAGTTTCGATGCATAGCTCCCTTTGTACATTCAACTATTAAGATGCATAAAAGCAAGTAGTTAGTTTAATCATGTCACGCATTTTGTAAATGTTTGAATGCTCTTAATGTTTAACTAATTATGGTTACCTCATCAGCACAGTTGAAATTGTTAGTATAAGCGTTAAAAGCAGAGTTGTTGTTATTGTTAGCTGCGACGCTGTTTTTCAATTCTTTTGCTTCTTCAGAATCAACATCAATGTTCAACAATCGACATTGTTTTTCGAAATCTAACTGTCTCTTCTGATAAAAGGATAGAGGTTCTTCTGCAATATACATGTCTTCAAGATTTTTCTGTAACCGTGTTAGTCAAAGCGTTATCAAAGAATATAAATCATTAATGACATTATAATACAAAATTATTGCCTGCAAATTCATGTCAAACACACAAAAAATTAACAATAATAAAGTATCCTGTAGTAAACAGCACTAAGATCTTTAACCGATTTTAAAGCATTATTAATAATGATAAGCGCTAACTTACAGCTAGAGCTTGTTCTAATTTCTTCTCTAGCTCTGCATTTTTCCTCTTTACTTCTTCCAATTCTGTTAAAGCATCATCCCTTTCCTCTGCTGCGTCCAAATATTGTTTCTCAATGCTGTCTGCATTTTCTTTTGTTTTTTCTACCTCCATTTTGAGGTTATTCACTAACCTTTCGTCATATGCGTCTGTAACTGATATAACAGTTTTGTGTTGTTCTTGTTTGATTATGGCTCGCTCTCTAGCTAACTCAGCTTCCAAATTAGCTATCCTTGTAAGTAAACGTTTGTTTTCTCTTTCTTGGGCTTCTTTATTTCTGTAAATATCAATGGGATAACGAGTATTATTCAATATAACTAAATGCAAGATATTAATAATGAAAATTGATTAAAATTTCTAGTCTGAGTCAGCAATAGTTAACTAAAAATATTGAAAATAATGCTAAAGAAGGTCAGTTCTTAAAGTATTATGAACCTATTACCTAAGTTCAATAGCCAAAAGTTGCTTTGTTGATTGGAGATCATCTCTGACTTTATCAATGTCGTCCATCTCATCAATTTCCTCTTCTTCGGCTCCAGGAACCTGCAATTTTAATACAAAAACTAAATCAATCAGACTCTAAATTATTATTATTATTTATTTTCTTTCGTCACTATCTTGCAGCTTAAGGAATACTTTAAAAATTTGGCTCGTCCGATAAGGACCCTTAGCAAAATTGATAGTATTTTTATCCGGTAAACGAAATGTACTGGATCAATAAACCTCGGTAATCTGGGACAAGTTAAAATTTTCTAATTAACTTTTCCTTTAGATGCTGTCATTCTGATTTTCATTTCCATTATTTCTCACCTCAGCCACGGAAACTCCTGAAGGCGACGCCGCGATATTGGCTTGTGACATAGATTTCTGAACCTGTTCCTCAATAGTCATTTGTCTTCTAAACTTTCTAAGGCCTTCAAGAATAGGCTTACTTCTGTCATTGGTTTTTACTTTTTTCAATTTAATGCCTTTGTTGATTTCTTTGAGAAGTTCATTGTGAGAATTAGGTTTTTCAGATTCGAAAATAAATTGATCTTTGTTTTTTACAACTGTCGATCTAGTAATTATTGGACTGGATCTGGAAAAAATATGCAAGACTTACAAATTTTGTTAATATCTTACTTTTAATCATAGACGGTATCAAATATTGAAATAATTGACTTATTAAAAGCTCTTTTGTAGTCGTCCATTATTTTTATACTCCTACTATTCAGGACATCTTTTAGCCGATGAGAAGAATGAGCGCAAGAAACTTAGCAGCACTTAACAGAAGTAGCAGCATTTACAAAAAATCATGTCGCTACCAATACAACGTCCACTCACATTTTGATTGCTGTGTTATCTTTATATATATAATTCTTCTGTGAGTGTGTATGTCACTGAACTTCTCTTAAACGACTGGACCGATTTTGATGAAATTTTTTGTGTGTGTTCAAGGGGATCTGAGAATGGTTTAGATTCACAATTTTGTCCGCTGGACAACCCCTATTTTTTTTAGGGCGGTACGTAGTTCGCTGGGTCAGCTAGTACATTATAAATACAAAAGGAGGGGCCAACCAAAACTGTTTTTTAATATATTTATAGAAGCTTTCGAGTATATTGAACTTTTAAAGTATTTAACTTGAGTTCACAATCCCTCAGGACCTCAGGTAAATAGTAACTTACCTATCGTTACAGACTACTTTTTTTAACTTCTTGCCCTGTTCTACCTCCTTCATCATGTCGCTCCAGTCAGGTCGCCTCCGTGGGCGGCTGCGCAGATTCTCTAGTTTCTTTAATTTGGTAGGATCTAAAGGCGCCTTTTTGAACTCCGGCGGGGGAGGCATCTTTGGTGGGAGAGGGGGCGGCATCGGTGGTGGTGTCGGCTTGAGTAAGCCTAATTTGAGAACACAAATTCTGTTATGAATTTTAACGTTTCTTGAATGATAAATTCGAAAGAGTTTTTGTAGAACAACATGTGTCTAACTATTCCTTATAAACTAATACTTTAATTTCTACAATTGAGCGCTTCCCTATAAATAATAAATACGTATTCATAGTATGAATAGTAAGCTCTTCCACATTTCTCGGCGTATTCGCTATGTGGTATGTTGGGTGATGGCGGAAGGTTTTAATAAATGCAAAGATTTAGATAGGTTTATGTCTACTTATTGAAGAAGATTCAATGGTTCAAAACATACTTATTTATAATATCGGTGCACTACGTAGTTACACACACACGTATGAAATATATACCATACAATTTTAATATAAAACATTAACATTTCATGTGGCCCACTTTTGTGTCATTCACTATTGTGTTGTATTAAGTACATATTTATTAAATTATTTTCACACCATCACAACTAACTCCCCTGCATCAAAATAAACAGGTTCATAAATTATTTATTATTATTACAATTACAATATTTTCACGGGAGGTTATAAAATAAATTATAAATAAATTGTTATAAAAGAAATTATAAATAAATTATTTATAATTTATTATATAACCTTTTGCCATTGCGAAAGTTACTTAACTTCCACAAAGTTTAGGTACTACATACTTTTATTATAAAGCTAGCTAGAACGAAGTTATTTCTGCCAGTGTCAGCTCATAATCATTGTAATTATATTGTAAAACAATTGTGCTATGTCGTGACACCGCAGGACTTTAAGTACCGTCTGTCAAGATGATAAGTTGCATTGTCCAAGAGAAAATTCACTACCTACTTATTTCAACCGTAGAACAATCCAAGAATTAAATTAGGTACTGTTCTATTTAATATTTAGAAACCAGTTAACAAAAGAAGGACGAGTTAAAAAAAGATGGTACAGGAAGAAAACGATTTAAAATTGTTTTAAGTACTCATATCCACTTGCAGCAAATTATAATTGCTAAATCTCAATACAACTAAAGCTAAATTTAACCCATACAAGAATGTCTATTTCATATAATTTAATGGGCTAAGCATATCTAGTTTTAGTTAAACAGAGATTCAGCAAAATTTTTGCAAGAAGACCTTGAAAGATTAAGCTAGTTTGATATTAATTTTTAACACGCATTCATAGCAACTCGTTACACCCCAGAAAGAAACCAAAGCATCAAATAAATATGTCAAATGATGAAGATTAAAAAAATCAATACCAATACCACAAAGTACCTATAAAAACTGTTTAGGATGTTCTCAAAAAAAGACTGACATGTTTATCAGTTTTAAGAAGAGTTACCGGAAATATTTTCCATCCATTCCAGTCCATTAATAACTTTAACCATCTGCACTACACAGAAAATCTAGCGACAAAAATTAGCGCATTCTTTGTATCAATCTCTCCCCAGAATGACGAAAATAATACCATATTAGTTACCTAAAGATACCTACTAGGTATTAACTTCTTTATAACTTAATCAAACCCATCTAAAAGAAAAATCCATTCAAACCTTTGAACAGATTTCCTTGTTCATCATCCTCCATTCTGAGGACGTACGTACGCTTCGAACAATTATTAAACACAAAATCACTTATCAGATATTATTATCATGACAACCACACTGAAACACAATTCACAGATATTCCCGAAAACCACTTTGTGCATTCGACTGAACCGTTCACACCTGATGTCACTGCGATGGACACGGAACTGTGCACTATTTTGGACTGAATTTAGACCAAAAGCTAGACCGCTGCACAAGAGATCAAAAGGTAACAGTCTATATTTGTGGCTTAGTGAACGACAGAGTATCTGCACGGGAATGTTAATTTATTTTTATCTCGCAAATATTTTGTTCTTTAAAAACTTCGTTAATGATTTTCTTATTATCTTTTTAGAGCCCTCGTTTGTTAATTTTTAAGAATTTTTTTATGAGATAGTAGATTTAATTACTTGAATCGGGATTTATCAAATTTGAGATTATCTATTATTATATTATTATATATATCGAGATTTATGCAAGTGGGCCCAAGACTTAAAACTATTTGATTAATAGATATACCATCTTTAGATAGAATAAAACGTGTTGTATTGATCTTCTTATATTACTCAACAAAGTTAACTTACCACAAAGATAATTGGCCTCTTCAATTATCGACCCAAAAGCCTTAACTTTTAGTAGTTAGGTTGCCAGCATATCATCTAATAGCAGTTTCGGAAAGTATCTACATAGGCAGGCACCGGATTTTATATTTCATTTTCAGAAATCAAGCATGTAAGATTACGGTGTGGTTACAGACAACTTCTTTTTTTACAACAGTTACGAGAAATTAATTTAATTCATTAAGTTGATCAAAATTATCACAAAATTTTAAAATCGTCACATTGAATTTTATAACATTTTAATCTCATTTTTTCATCCCCCAATTGAAAAACAATCAAAAATTAAAGTCCGTTGATAATTAGTAATACTTATGTCTTATATTTTATCTGCAGATAATTATCTCATTGTAGTCCGACACATATACCTGCCAAGATCGATGATCGATCCAAATAACGGATTGCGTGTTCGATCGACGACTTCTAATTTTAAGCGGGAAAGTGTACTATGTCAATGCTAGTATCTCACAAATGGATCAATAGGCTGGATCGATTAGTATTGCATTTCATTGTTATTTTTGCATCTATTCTAATATTTGATTTAAACCTCTGAAATAACTATAACAGAACAGTTCTAAGAAACTTTTCTATATTTCGATGTGGATTCGAGGACATTTTTTTTATTTTGTAAGATCTGTGGATAAATTTTAGGTTTTATTACGACGCATGTAATAATGCTGCAGTTAACGTCAAAATACCATCAACAATGTGCTATATACCAATAAAATAATAAAAATGTACCCTTCCAAAAGAATACATGGTAAGCATGGTAATTCATTAAAGACAAACCTAATAGCACGATGCCCTAAGCAATGTCTTCTCAAGATTTTATATTTTCTATTTTCTTTTCAGTTATGCAAACAGAATTTATTGATATACCTACGCATAGGCTGATTCTTAACTCTACTTGTGATTAGCATTTATTGATGTGTAACAATACATCTTTCCTCTCGGTTTCCTGCAATTTGTGGGAGTGATTTCGTGAAATGGGACGGAAGTATGTAACAGGAAGTCGCGAAAGCGCACGCTATTTGATTTGATTTTGGCTTTGGAAATGGCTTATTCCTTTTGTAGTAGGTTTTATTTCTTTTTTTACTAATATAAAGTGAAGTTTTCAAATGTTACACATCATAACCGACTAATGTAAGGCTCGCTCATTTTTTTTATTGAGCCTCGGCGCGAATAAGTAAAATACCTCCAGAAAGAAGATTCAATAAGTTATTGGACTTACTTCGCAAGCTTTCATTTTTTGTCAGCGTGTGTCCTTTTGGAATCTCGTTAGCGAGTGTCTTATCGATGTTCTCCTTAACTCGCTCATGAAGGGGATCCCTCCATTTCTTCACAGGCTCATCCTTCGATGACTGCTTCTGTAGAGATGGCTTTCGTGGCGGCAACTAGAAGTAGTATAAACATTATTATTCATCCAGGTGAGTTTTATAAGTGCATCTTAGGTTTACCGTTATTACGGTATTAAATGAAACGCAATAAGATTATTTTATTATAGTAAAGTTTCTTAGACTTTCTAATTGCATCAAATTGAAACAAGTCATGGTCCATTAAAATATCTTTACTTAAAATCATCATCATCTGACCTATTAATGCCTCTTATGCTGCGGCATAGGCCTTCCCGGTGGGTGGACCCACCACGCGAAGCCAGCGCGGCTTTGTGGGTGCTGCACAACAACTACAGATGCAACCAGATTAACGGTTTAATATGTCTTCCGAAGCAAGAGAGCTCAAGATAATATGTTTTTGGTCTTCCACACAATGGACCGGTCGTTGCGAAAAATCCATAGAGATAACAGATCAAACGCATCAACCACATGTGCTATCGAGCTCCTCAAACTACTCTAAATAACTATATTAAATAATATTCTACAATAAAAAAGCATGTATCGACGACCTCCGTGGCCGAGTGGTTTGTACGCCGGGTTTCATGGTGTCACCGACTTGAGAGGTCCCGAGTTCGAATCCTGGTGGGGGCAGATGTTTGTGTGATGAACACGAGCATTTGTACTGTTTTTTGCATGGATGTTTAAAATATATTTCTATATAAATCTTTATATATATAATTCTTCTGTGAGTGTGTATGTCACTGAACTTCTCTTAAACGACTGGACCGATTTTGATGAAATTTTTTGTGTGTGTTCAAGGGGATCTGAGAATGGTTTAGATTCACAAAGACGTGTAGACAGGACAACGTCTGTCGGGTCCGCTAGTATACTTATATATGTACAGTATATGTATTCTATCCGTTACCCTAGTATCCCATAACACAAGCCTTATAGTGCTTACTTTGGGGCTAGGCTAATTGGTACGAGTGTTGGAAATATTTATTTATTATTTATTTAATGCATTTATTGGTTACCTTTGAGGGTGTCTTTTCAAGCGGGGTTGGGGGTTTTGTAGCCATTTTTGTATTTTCTTCAGCTTTCTCTTCTGCTTTTGGATTTATAGCTGCTTTGGAAGATGCAGGTGTTTTAGATTCGGGCACCTTGGCAGGTTCAGGTGCCTTCGAATTGTTCGATGTCTTAGAAGCTGTTTTAATTTCTTTATTATTTGTGACCACCTTATCACTTGATTTATCATTCAATTTTTCATTAACTTTATTATTGATAATATTATTTGTCTTTGTTGTACCATTTTTGTCAGCTGTCTTTCTATCTACTATAGTTACAGATTTTTCTTTGGCTTTGTCATCTATAGTTCTTACAGTTCTAAGTGTTGGCTTTTCTGGTACTTTGTCATTTGGTTTATCTTCTTTCAATTTATCAACTGATTTAAGGGATGACTTAGTGAATCTTGGCTTTTCATCAGGCGGTCTGGATGCTTTGTCAGCTTGCTTGGCTGCAGAAGGCTTAACTAGCTTTTCTTCCACGGGTTCTGACTTGTCATTTACTCCGTTTTCTGCTTTTCCCCTTATAGTAGACTGTTTCTTTAAAACGGCTGAAACACAAAGATATTTGCGTTTTTATTTAGATTATTGTAAGTACGCAAACGATTAAAAGTAGTTTAAATAAAATAAATATCACCTACATAAATGTTGTTTTTTAATAATGAAATATAAAATAGGTAATTTACGCATATATCAAATTTCGGATTGTGTGCAATTATGTTTTCTGTCAGTTAATTATTATCTTAATTACACACAGATACATGCAATAAAATTCTATGAATTGATGGAAGCACGTGCTGACGACTCAGTGTTGCATCTCATTTGTAAATAAACATAGCCGTTGCCAAGATGGCCGGCCTTCGCTATTTTAGCGCAGCCATCACAAAATTCCCTATTATATAGCCAAGTGGATGAAGGGAATTCACAAAAGTTTGTCTTTATACCAAAAGTTTTTTAAGAATATTAGTTCCCACATTTACAATAATCATTTTTTATAGGGCGCAATAAATTTTTGCTAGGTATAACTGGACTCCAGTTGATGGAGCTTTGTAAGCTTTCTGATAGTCGAAAACGTAAAATCACCAAAAATGTAATGTTATTTCACCGTGGTCTTCCGTAATCATAATCTCGTCGATTAAGATATATCAATTTGAGCTGAAAAATACTGGATAGAGGAGTTTTATGGCATCATAATTCCTGAGCAACAGAGCTTTATTCGGTATTTTTTACATTATAAATTGGTCGACATAAATGAAAAACCTATAATAATTGAAAAATAAAGTTAACTTAGGCTGCGTGGTTTGATACATAGTTAAACATGACTATAGTTAAAATACTTTAGAAAAAGTAACTATTTGTCAAAATTTTACACATTTTCCTCCTTTGAAACGTGACATTAACTAATAGTCACATTTAACTATGCATCAAACAATGGGCCCAAGCAACAAATAAATTTTTAAGAAGAAATAAGCTATTTATATGGTTTTCATTAAAGAAAGTTGTTAAACACTACTATTAACCTTATAAATAGCTACTATGTCCACGGCAAATAGATATTTCATCGAGTTAAATTAAAAATGAAAACATTTGACAGTCTGATTTGGAACCAGAAAAGTTATAATCTCAAAAATCCATTCTGAAGCTGCAAACCAAACGGAGATGTTTAATTACAAAATGATGTGTGCCTCTTATAAATCAGCGTGTAATCCCATTTTCACGGTTTATTTTCTAAAACGCCCTGTCTAAAAATACCGGGCGTTCGCCGGCGACGCTCGAAATATTGCTACAAAACGCAAGTTTAAGAACGCGTCATGATCCGAAAGAGAAATTTTCTTACGCTATAATTGCTCAGATTTTGTTTGTTTTTGTTTTGGAAAAGGTCACGTGGAAAGTCAGTCAATCAGTAAATCTTAAAAGGATGAATAAGAATATTTTTTGGTCAAAATGTCTTTCACTAGGTACCTTACATTGTACTCGCATATAGAAAAGACAAAGAAATCTTTAAAACTCAGATAATTCAGATTTCTACAGAAACCATGTTGCGCTAGTAGCTTTTTCAGATCATAGAGTTACGTTATCACCATCGTTTGTCGCACTAATTGAGCTTTTAGGTTAATTCTAAAACACACATCACATCCATATTTTTCAACTTTTAGAAATAATACATTGAAAAAAGTCTTCTAAAACAACATTAGAATTTTTCTATATTTAACGTTCGTTTTTTACGAATGAGTGATTACATAGATACATGCAAACGCCTACGTATTCTTTTGTTATTTATTTGTATTTGTCGTCGATAACCCATGAAGTGTGCCAAAATCTAAAATAATACTCCACCTTGTACAATGAGCAAGTAATGGCAATGAATCCTGGTCGAACTGTTGATTCCAAAGACGTGTGATGTTTTCACTTGTTGCCCTAAATACTAATTCTAAGGGGGGTTTTGAGATCTGGCTTTAAAACTTTTTGCACTATCACTACAGAGTGTAATATTGTTCACGATTTTCTCCAAAACGTTGCTTCACACGTAACACACCAATATGAGACGGTTCCAAACTCCAGACTAAAAACTTTGAACGCTTTCGGAGAGTCAATTATTGGGACTGTGTCTCCTGCCAAAGTTTCAGGTGTTTACGTCACTATGTACACATACATATATCAACACACGGAGAATATAGTAACGATGAGATGAATATAATATAATCTCACATGATTTATCGGCTCGGATCGGTGTTGGTTTAATATGTAGGTACAATACAATGTCGTAAACATTGCATAGTGTATAAAAATATTTTTTGTGGATGTAATAAAGAGTAAAAGTTATTGATCGCCACCGCCAATCGAAGAAAGTAAGGAAGGAAAGATTCGTTTCTCTAAATCTGAATCACAAAACTTTAGAAAATAAATTCTCAGATAACCTAAAACAATATAAAGAAAATTTTACTAGAAAAAAATCCACGCGGTCCGGTTTTCGTTTCATTAATCTAGCAGTTTAATGCTTAAATTTAAATGAAAAACCTTAATCAATGTTATTGTTAACTCGCGATTCTGAATCCGCAACTATCTTCAGGATCAAAGCAATGCATGTGACGTATGTTTGTTTGTTGACGTTTCCAACACTTTATTATTAATATTAAACTAAAATAGACGTGATGGATTTATTTACAAGTGTTGAATTAATTGGTCGACCTTAAGCTCCCACACATACACGTGACGTCTTTAGGCGGAATAAAATGAGACTTTATACATCAAATTGGGCTGTTTTGTTTTTTACTTTTCATTGTGTGGTTTCCTTGTCTTCGGAGAATTGTCATTCGGCCAAAATATCGTCAAATTGTAATCGCTAGATTAGTAATGCGAGGTTGAATTTATCTTAGTCATGCTGTGATCATGCAGAGTGCTTGAAATTGTTCAAATGGAGATTAAATAATATGATTATACTTCAGCAATTTATTAGAAATAACTTATTTTTAAAAGTATTTAGAAAGAAAATTTATTTTATTCTTTAAAATATTAATGTAATGTGTCGCCTGAATGAACATTTAAGAAACTTGAACTACAAAAACTTAGAAAAAAGCACTGGGCGGTAAAAAATGTAAAACCATTAATTAATATGTTGTAAAGAGATGTATTTAAAAAGAAAAGATGTTGCATGCGATAAAATAAAGGTGATGAAAATGAATGTCGAAAGGAACACTGAATAAAAGATGATTGAATTGTGAAAGATGATAATGGCAAATTAATAAGTAAATGCAGTTGACATTTTTCTCATTAAAAAACATGAAAACCAGAAGGGTATGCTCCAGCTAACCCCAAATACAAAAAGGAGGTAAGCCAATGATGTTTTTTATACGTGGCGCAACAAATTACCCTGCCCCACCTTACACTTAGTAAGTCGAGTCCAGGCGCGAATCTTCGCTTCGTTCTAGACGATGCGGCAGAAGGTGTGCCGCTTCAGCCATCCTCACCGACCTGAACCCAATCCCCTACCCCGTGGAGCCCTGAAACCTTCATCACCAGCAGAAACACAACACTACCAAAAGCTAGAATAGACATGATGACTATTTTTTTTTCTTCGTTTATCAGGTAGATTATCAAAAAGTATTGGACACGTATTTTTTCTTGTTTCACATAATATCAACATTGCAGAGATATATTGATTTGAAAAGTCGCATGACGTCACGTTTTGGTACAATTTTCACTTAAAAGTGACGTCACGAGCCCCTTCTCCCAAACTTTGACGCGCTACAACTTTGTAATTTTTTGGTTGATTGTACAATTAAAAAAAACCGTGTCCATTATTTTTTGATCATCTAACTGACGGACTAAATAGAATTTCATTTACTGTACCCAGTCATCACCCCTATTATTTTAATGTGGTGTTCTCTAAAGTGGAGGTTGCTTCACCAGACTGGCGCTCCAATTCGCGCGAGAAATCAGCTGTGCACTACATCTCTTAAATGATTTTGTAACTGGATTTTAATTTAATCTAAAACTTTTTATATTTACGTAACGTTCGTAGAGTGTGCAATATTTAGGAGAGTGTACCACTATATTTTAAGGTGACGACGTAATATTTTGTGTACTATACGTGGGCGTAGTGTCAGAACTGTCGTCAGTAGTGGGTTTTATTCAATTCTCTAATACTGCGTCAAACGTGCTTTTACGTGCAATAAAAAAAAAAAGTAAATAATAACACGGTTAATGATATTCATTGTTTCAGTCAGACATCGTCTGTTAGGATAGGCTAAAGTCATTTTAAAGATATGATTAAGTAAGTTAATAAAATTGAGGGAAATATTTTAATGATCCTCATAAAATTAAAAAATATCACCTAAAAATACAATTGGTAGGTAACCTAAAATTTAAGTAGAAATGTGATTTGGTACACTCAAAGCCATGTCTGTGTACATGAATATGACACACGCCGAAGCCCCTTTTAGCTACAGTAGCAGTAAGATCTGTAATCCAATAGCATAGCCTAAAGATATAAGTACAGCACCTTAGCGGTAGATTTTTAATAAAAAAAAAACAGGAATCGATCGATTTTCAAATATGATAAACTTAAGACGAGATATGTACGTTATTTCTGTAGCACAATGCTAGATAATCATTTAATCAATCATATCTTATGATAATCAATTATTTCATGAGATAGTAAATAACTCAATACTCAATTAATCAACTAATATTTACTCTTTGGGGGAAGTACATTATGAAACACACATTTTGGTAGATTTTCCTTGCAATGGGAGTACCCGTCTTGAGAAGTAGCCGTAGGGACTACTTCTCTAGACAGGTACACCCAGTCCTACAAAATACCACAGCAGGTTAATATATTTTTTGGTGAAGACCACAGTTTAATAACACTACCTTTTGGTGGTGTTTCTCTCGGTGAGCAAGGTGACAGGTGACCCGTTGGAGATTGGGTAGGCAAGGGCGCAAGTGATATTTTTGGTACCGCAAGCGTCTATAAATTATATGGTGACAGTTAACTACCAGACGGGCCTTACGCTTAAAAAATTAAAGTATACATTGTGAAGCTCGATGGCGCAAGTGGTTAGCGCTTTCAGCTGCGATCGTTGAAGTTGAGCAACTTTTGCAGTGGTCGGTCATTGAATTGGTGACCAAAAATGTGTTGGGCTCCCACGTGCTTCGGAAAGCACGTTAAGCTGTTGGCCCCGGCTGTATCTGCAGTCGTTAGCACCCAACAAACCGCACTGGGCCCGCGTGGTGGATTATGGCCCAATCTTTCTATTTTATCCTTCCTATGCCCCAGCAGTGGGGACAATAATAGGCTAATGATGATGATACATTCTTGGCTTACGCTTCAATGGTTTAGCAGCGGTTGTAGACGCTGGCGCTGGTGCTTCATCGCTGACCACAGTCTTAGGCGCATCTACTGGCTTTAACCTCTTCTGCATCCATGACGGGGGAGCGTCAGCATCCTTGTCTTTCACCCAGGGAGGCCTATAGTTGTCCCTCTTTGGCGCCTCCCTGCTCACGTTCCCGATCGGCATTGTGAGATCTGATGGAGAAAAAGAGTATGTGTGTATATTTACTTTAAATTCAACGTCGAAGTGATCTGCAACAATCTCCTTAGAATGGGGATATAAAAATACAATAGCCACGGGGCGGCGTAGTCGCGTAGCCGGCTCTCGTGGGCGCTTCGCAGCGCTATGCGCCGCTTGAGTGCTGTTTCATGATTGCCATAAAATTTTTAAACTTATGATAAAGGAATTAGGGTTTAACTTAAATGGTTAAATTCATCCCGATGTACGCTGCGCCTTTGGCCTGTTTGTACCAAAGATCTTACATTAATTCAAATTAAGGCTTAGGTAACCGTATTTAGTACATCATTCCATCCTTGTCAACAACTTTGGTGTAAGTGGGCTTAATAAGGACAATTTCCATTGACAGTATCCAGAGATAAGTTTTTTGTTTTCTTTAAAAACAAAAAAGAGTTAAATCAATCATGTTTGTGTTACTTAAACAAAAGGGACACAGTACCGCGTTTACCACCACATCCTTGCTAAAAGATTAAAATGAATAAACAAATCCATAAATCAATAAGAGAACATCTTATTAAAATCGTACCACACACACAAAAAAAGTGTAAATTAATAACGTGCGAAGTTCGATTTTTGGCAAAACAAACGAGCATCGCGTTCATTCAGCCTAGCTATTTTTAGATTTGCACACAAGTCTCGAACAGCTGCGTAATTTAGCCGCAAGGAATAGGTAAGTAGGATGAATAATACTTGTTACTACTATCTAGTGTAGAATCACTAAAAATTCATATTGAAGACATATAATACAGCGGACTTTAGTCTGCGTCGCGCTCGGGCGATTTAGAGGGATAGATCCAGTATTCTCTTTTAAAACCGCCATCTCTTTTTATTCGTAACTTTTTTGTCTCCCACGGACAAAAGGTTCTCGTCAGCGCAGGCCATTAGTTTAGTTGACATTAGAGGTGGGTTAGGGATCGGATTAGGTAAAATCGATACCTATTCCACCTAATCCTAATATTAAAAATAGTTAATCATAATTCCTATTCCGAATATTCATGTAGTATCGCCGATCCCCTCCATACATATGTACGACAATACGATATTATGAAATACATTTCATGTGGATTAAGTATGCTTTGGATGTTTATTATGAAAAAAACCTGTACTCCCTATTTTTTTCTAATCTAGGTAAATAAAATTAAATATAATGTTTTAATATTGTGCATTTTCTCTCTCTAGTATGTAGGTATGTATTAATCATTGCGATGCATATTAAATAATATTTCGTATAACTAAATAATTTATTTTGCCTTCGAATAACAGTTTCGCATTCTAATTTAATTACTTTAAAACAAATAAAATGTGAGTCAGTAAGTTTTTTTGACTTTGTGTTTTGTATTAGAAATTATAAAATGACGGCAACTAGAGTTGTACAAATTCATCGCGTTTTACATAAATTTTAATCTAGATGGCGTTAGTGGTGGTACATACACGTAATCCTACCTAATCCAATCCAGACAAAACCAAATACCTGTTCCGAATTATGCAGTATAACGGGTAACGGATCGATGGATTGGATCGGCCGTCAATCCAATACGTTAAAAGTATGTATGTGTATATTTGATGCGGATTAGTTATGACGTAGAAATATTGCATTGGATTTGAATAATATCTCAATCATGTTTTAGGAAGTATGACAATAATCTGGATTACCCATTTTTTTACTATAAAAAAAATTGGGTTTTTTTTCTTTTATTAAGGTAATATTTATTTTTTCAAAACAATTTAAGTATCCAATATTTAATTTTGCCCAGTATTTTATAGTACTTAGTCATAAAGGACTTTTACGTGTTCACATTTTTGTAGGTTTTACTTCTAGCGCATATGAACAGCACATGTCTGTTTTTTTATTTTAGGAAAATACTTCCCGTTTGGTATTTAAAATTGAACTTGGCGCTGCAGCCAGGATCGTCTCTGTATGAAGGAATAATAAAAATCATTTGAGATTCGTGTGCTCGGAGTGTTATTATTTATGTTAGAGCAGGAAAACCTTAAATTGGCCTTGTTATTAGCATATTATTTGTTAACTATAGTTTAAATTGCAACGCTGCACTGTTGGTTTTCAAAGAAATAAATAAATCGTTGAACAACGCCCTCTAGCATAGCGATGTACTGATTCATCACATCATACCCAATCATCAAACAAGTAATGATCAAATAGTATCCTAGATGGCGTTTGTTGCAACTTTTCCTTTGGCATTTAAATATTTTATGTGATACCTATTACTCGAAATTTTTATATCGCCTCGGATTAGGTATCGCCTTGTATCGAAAAATACCTAATCCGATATTTATGCCTCACCGCTAGTTGACATTGTTCTATTAAACTCGATTAGGTACAAATTCAGTGAGCATGATAGCTTAGGTATTGATTACACCGAAATTGTGTAGACTCTTATGTTTTTTTCTTTATTATTTCTATAAAGTCTACAGATTTGTGGTTCTTTTTTGTCTCAGCCGTACGACGCCCACTGCGGAGTATAGGCCTCTCCCAATGATCTCCACATCGATTAGGCCTGTGCCGTACAGTACTCTATTCTACAAAATTCTTATATCTATCTCGAATTTATCTTAACTCTTATGAAATTAATTAATATTTTATGTTTGGAAAAATCTACTTGTTTTGGACGAAAATAGACGATACAATATACATAGTATAATAAACAAACAATATAACGATCTAAGGAGTCTAAGCAACATAAACTTTTTGGAACTTTTGACCAAAATTTAATAATATATATTTTTTATTTATTATTTATACATATTAATATTTAAATTACAAAACCTTACAACTAATTATTGTCTAATAACTTAAAAAGAATTAACTACTTAAATAACATACAACCTAAAAAATATATCACCCCCATCGCCGACGACAGGAATGGTGCCCAATAGGCTGGCAGCATTTCCACGTTGGATAGCAAGGCTAACCCGTTGACCAAGGTAGCTGCCAGCCTTTTGATCACCAGTCACCTCGGTGAATCTCTTAGACAATTCCTTAAAAAAGGAACAGACGCTCGGACCCCATGATCCCATTGTCTCTACACCAAACGACCCAAATATGTAGTTCTCATTGATAGCTGAATATTTGCGCCGCTTGGAGCACTCAGCAGAGGCCGCCACCATGCCCACAGCAAGGGAGGTGCTACCTGTATGGCACGGAGCAAGCGTAACCGCGCAACTTGCGTCCCATACAAGAGGACAACCCTGCTTTCAAGGAATGAGCGTCATTCCGTCAGGTCTCTTGCCATCGTACAGAAGATGCCACTGGGCTTTAGGACCGCTGGCACATTGACTGCGACAAGAGCTCTACAGATGACGTTATTAATGCAGGAGTGGCGGGAGACTCGACCAGCGCTCATTTGGCATGAGAGACCAAGGTATCCCAACTCCCCGACACGAGTTCCGCAATGACAGCGATCGGGGTGATTTGTCTAGACGCCAAGTCTAAGTGAAACGGCATAAGACAGAGTACTCCTGCCAAGCAAATATTGGCTGAAGGAAAAGCTTGCAATCAGTAATCAGACTCTGCCTGAAAGACTGCTATGAGACGAGCACGCTCAACTGCGTTTTCAGAGGATCTCTCTGAAGACGCAGGCAGAGTGGCTCGTCACATTGCCTCTGCGAAGATAAGGAGGATGGTGGATCTACTTCGGGGCATGCCCTACACTAAGCATTCCTGGCCTATGCAGCTACACTACGCCAAAAGAAAGACGTAGTATTTTATTAAAGAGCTCGGTTGTACCATGTGCAGAAGACAGAAAAGTGGGAAGGGCAATTTATGAAATCTGGCGGGTACGAAGCTAACAGGTAAAGAGGCCTGCTTCCAAGCGTTATCAGAAAATGAATAATTTAGAATTCTAGATAGTTTCTCCTTGAGCGAACTGTCAATAGATGACAGTAGCCCTGGAAAAAGCCAAAAACGAGAACTAGGTACGTAAAAACTATATGAATGTTGGGGCAAATGCGCAAAAACTAATTAAATACAAAGCCATGTGAGGATTGATATTATTTTTTTTTCGGAAGACTATTGAAATTTGAAATTTTGTTCATAAATAAATATCGGAATAGTATCATCAAATACATACCTAAGAGAGGGACTGATTTATTATCAAGAATTTTAATATTAGGAGCTAAAGCCGAAAATTTGGTAATAATGTATTTATGATCAGGTGAAAATTTTGATTCTGGATTAAAAGCTCGCATTTTGAATAATTTAGTCCAAGGCCAATATTTTTGAATTTATCAATAATAACGTGAAAATCTGACAGAAGTGTTTTAATATCGCCAGTGATAGTTCCGTCATCAAGGTACCACACATTAAATTTAGAATTTAACGAATCGATAATGGGTTGTATTGCCAAACTAAAAATAGCTAGCCCGAGAGCCTTGCTGACAGCCAACAAATGAATGCAACAGGTTGTTTTTAAAAATAAGTTTAGTAGGTTTACTGCAGCATTGCCAAAGGTAATTATAAATAGTAGGAGTTTTTTCTTTAATTACTGAAAGCAAGGCAATTTATACTTTTTATACTTAAATTCTTTTGTGAATATTAACCAATCTGACTTAAAATAAAAGCAAGAAAATGTTTGAATAAATTACTTGTACTTTGCGTAAATTATGCATGTTGCTTAGACGTTTTTAATTACATTGAAATCTATCCAAAACTGTTTATATTTTTATCAACGGTAAATAAATTATTATTATTTTAATTAAAACAAATGCCTATCATATCTGGCAAAGGTCAAACAAGGGAAAAGTACCTACTATGAATCAAATAAGAAATATTAACCTAATAATCGCAAAATCATGCAAAACAATATGGTACTCTATCATGCTATGATTAATTTGTTATTTCATAAAAACAGTAGTTTACTACGGAAACGCGACTATTGTGAAGTGTAGGTGTCCCTATTATCTATTTAATTATTAATTGTGTATTTGTAAAATGTTTTCC